ACAAGGCACTGTTCACTGTTGAGAAATTCAGCTTAGCTCAGGTGTGTAACCAATAGACATGTAGCAGTCAATTTTTCAAGTACATGTATTCAGACCCGAAATTCAGTCTAATTTTTTTCTTGTAAATATTCAATTTGGCATGGTTATTTATTTCCTCTGGCTACAGCCCAATAAACAGTGGTTCAAAATGCGTTTGTGCTAGTTTATCTGTTTCAGCAATTATTTTTCTGGGCTGAATTTAGTGAATTCAATTGTGAATACATTAAATAAAATAAAATGTAGAAGTGCCACATGTAGTAGGTTTGGAAAATAATGTCTCGATGTATATACAAGTATCTATAGTCATAATTTTAATTCTCTGCAATTACAGAAATATTTCACCATTCTCATACATTTCTAGTTAGACATAAATGAACGATGTACATTTCTTGAGGTTATACTTGTAAATTAAATTGTGTGAAACTACAGCTTTGTGTTTGATGGGTAAAATGTGTACATACTGAACAGAATGCAGGTTTTGAGGCCTTGAATGTCAATTTTTTTCCATTTTTCAGGTTGGGAGGGGGATTGATTGAATTTCTGCACTTTGAACAGCTCCATGAAGAGCATAAATTCTGAGAAAACAATCTCACTTACGATAGTTACTTGCTAAGCAAAAACAAAAAACCACTGAGAATCTGTCACACATTTTCAACATCACACCATTCAGTCAATAACCTGTTTTGCTTAGAACAAACACAGCTCCCTTAATTACCAACTGCACATATACTACAGTTCTTCAAAAAACTCTCTCTTGATGACACTGGCATGTCATGATTAATGCCTTTCCTTGGAAAGTTCCTTACTCGAGGGGATTGAACTAAATCAGAAAGTACACTCCTATAAAGAGTAAGTGCTTTTAATTTGACATTAAATGAAGGACTACCTGTAGAACATGCCTTTCAATCTCCTGGATGATTCATGGCTTGTTGAAGAGCAGGCTTTGCTGTGGCCAAGCCACTTTTACATATTTGAGTGGGAATGTGGCATGAGAATCTCCTTTTTTTTTTTTTGATTCACCACACTCTCAAATGACAAAAATCAGTGTGGTCTTGCACTTGTGGTTTTTTAAGGAGAATTTAAGGTTAATGATGTCATGTGTTCAGACTACAGCCCCTTAGAAAAGGAAAAACAAATACTAGTAACCTTTCAAAAAGAGTGTTAAGAAGTTCATTTCTTAGAGGTTACAGGTTTAAACCTAACTGTACTAAAAAAAACACACAGTTTGGGTTTAGTTCAAATTGAATTGAAATGTGTATTTATAGCCTTTTTGGCTCTTTGTAAGCATCTGCCCAGGTGCTAGTACTCAAATTTTGCAACAGCATTTGCTTCCTAGAAGCTCTTTGAATCTTATAGTAGCACAAAGTTTCTCGTTTGAGTTAGTGCTTTAAAAACTAAAAGGTTTTCCAGCAACATTGCCACTGTGACACAACTTTCACGAAAGCGAAGTCTAGTTATCAATGCATAATGAATCAGTGAGATTGAATGGCTTGTTTTCTTGTTTTGCTTCTTGAGTTGCAACTGTGATCTTGTAATGTCAGATTAAAACCACTTGACCTCAAACAGAGTGCCCCTTCTTGTTTTAATCCTATCTCCTAGAATACGCTACTTCAAAAAGGACGAAGACAAAATGAACCCTGACATGTCAGTGGAAGTTAATCATCTAAAAGAGAGTGGTTTGAAAACCTGCAGTATATGCGCAGCTGTTAAGGGGAGCTGTGTGCTTGTTCAAGGGCAGATAGATTAGTAGCTAAAAGGTGCAAAGAGGAATGTGATGCTTTTCATAGAGCTAAGAAATCATAATTTCTTGATCCCTTGTCTCCTCCAACAGATGTTTTTGCTTATTTTAACTAATACAGCTGAAATACCATGAAGTGCATGACTGCTTGTTAGAATTTAGCATTAAGCAGTATTTTCAGACATAGTTGAAAAATTCTCTTCAAATAAATCTATTGGCTAACAAAACCCTGACTATGCTGTACTTTCCATTTGCATATTGACAATCCATTGTAATCCATGTTAATAACCAATTTCTGAATCTCGATATTTTTGCTTGTTGACATAAAGCATACTGGAACGTGTAAAGTCGCTTTTAATCATAAAGAGTGCACACTTGGCAAAGCCCACTTGGCAAAGCCCACTTGGCAAAGCCACTTGGCAAAGCCCACTTGGCAAAGCCCACTTGGCAAAGCCCACTGGGCAAAGCCCACTTGGCAAAGCCCACTGGGCAAAGCCCACTTGGCAAAGCCCACTTGCAAAGCCCACTTGCCAAAGCCCACTTGCCAAAGCCCACTTGCCAAAGCCCACTTGCCAAAGCCCACTTGCCAAAGCCCACTTGCCAAAGCCCACTTGCCAAAGCTCAACTGGCAAAGCACACTTGGCAAAGCCCACTTGGCAAAGCCCACTTGGCAAAGCACACTTGGCAAAGACCACTTGGCAAAGCCGGGATTTCTTTTTACATGTATTTGAAAAACCAACAAATGCTTTGAAAAGGAATAGCAAAATGCAAGCAATTAAATGCAAAAAAAAATCTGAACAGAATAAAGGTCGCTTGTTTATATGAAGATCAGCTGACTTGCACTACATGTAGTTGATACTGGTTAGTACTAGTTGGTACCACCAACAGATTCATAGCACACCATTGCACCTATTGCTACTACATGTAGCTCATCCCCGTATGCAATGAACACAACGGACCAACTTAAGCATGATGTCTTTACATTTCACTTGACAGTTGTATCTAGCTGCAGAGCATGCATTAGAGTGGTTTGGAGGTCAAGAGTCTTTGTAATTGGGTCATGGAATATTATTAAATCCTCTTTATTCAATACTCAACCAAAAGACGTACAAAATAATAAAGATGCGACATAAAACCCTGGTCCCAAGCGGACAATAAATAAATGAAAGTACCCAGGTCAAAGAGAAATGAAGCATATTTTAAAAATTAGTGAAGCACAAACAACTGACACATTTAAAAAATACATGCATTTAGCTGCAGCGGCATAATTCATGAACATGTTTAGCAATGGGTGGTGCCCAAAGTAAGCTGAAGGGAAGGGCCAAATATGTTCATACAGACATATACACACATTCACCTGTTTTCTAGATTGGTTCATTCCAACTGTTAAAAACCACGTATGATCCTAACAGAGCTTTTGTACAATCTGATCGCGAAAATCTTTATGTACATTTAGCATCCAAATGGCAAAATTAATTTCCTAATTTCTTTGATAAATGAACAGTATCCTTAATATTTACAGTAGCATTACACGGCAGGATCCCGCCTCATACAAAGGGTGGAAAAACATATACAACCATTAGCGTTAAGCTTCTCAGTGTCCCTCTACATTATCTTTGACAGATTACAGGGATAAACATGTCTATGGCGCCAGTAACAGCATTTGCTTGCTGAGAGCTTCCCCCTATCTTACGGTTGCATAGAGTAATCCATTACTCCAAACAAGCGTGTCTGGAATAACAGAAGGGAATGGTGCCTAAGACATAGACTTAAGAAACTGAGTGGTGCTCTTTGTTGTCAAGGTCTCCATGGAAATTAAACACAGGAAGTGCAACCAAGGAAAAATTCCCCTCCCCTTAAAGTAATGAATTTTCTATCACAGTTTGTATCCTGCTGATCAATTAAAGAAACAGTGCAGCAGGATGCACTTGGATCCATGAAAGCATGTCAAAGTGTCAGGCTTGTAAATAGCAAACTACAGGAAAAGACGGAGGCCGATGAAGACTTTAACCACTTTTTTTTCAATATGCAATGGCAAAAAAAACGGTTACTGAAACAAAACAACAAAATTAACACAGGTCTCAACATCCCAAATATGTTTTTTTTTTTCATGTGCACTTCTATTCTCCTTTTTTAAAATGCATTTAGTCATGATCTTCTCTTCCCCCCCTCCCCCAAAAATCCAAAATAGTTTCAGCTACTGCTGTAGTCAAACTTTCTGGCACACTCTTTACTGGTTGAGAAGTTTCAGCATTCATTGATGAATAAACCAGGCATTTACAATTTGAACTAATAGGCGATTTATATTTCCACAAATTAAAATTCAAGCACTTTTTTAATAATTATCTCATAATTATGAATAATGATGTACATGTACTTGAATAATTAAAAATCATTTACTCCTTTTGATGTTTTTTTAATATTTTCAATTAGTTCTGCCATAGATATAATATGCAGAAAACATGTAAAACCAACATGTATGTTGCTTTAAATATACAGTAAGAGGAGACTTTAACATGCCCACAGTAATCTTTTTCCAGTCAGGCACATGCTCTATGTCTTGATTAATTACAGCTGCAGCACAGATTTTTTTTCAAATGAAAGACTTGCAACCCTAGCTGACTCCAGAGAGCATAAAATAAATTGCATGGTATTTCTATTTTCATTTCATCAGCACTGCGCTCAGAGCACCCTCTCAATTGCTGCCTTGCCTTTGTCTGCCTTGCCTTTGAAATGGTCCATTTTGGAGCTGAGGACCAAAAACACAATAGTGTATATGATGGCCTTGCATACAGGTGTAGAATTAAAATTAATTGCTCTAAAACAGGCCAATAGCACTGCAGTGTCAGCAGTTACTGAAATGAGACTGAGTACATTTCATATCCAAAGTGGCACTTAAGATGCTTTGTAGCCTAAATGCCGATGGCAGACCTTGGGTGAGCTTCCCCGCCAATCAAGTTTTGTAATGTCACGTAGTGAAGCTGTATCCAATATTGTACTCACTGCAAGTGAAGCCAGCACTGTGTTTTAGCAGAGTGGCAGCACTGTATGCACAGCATAACTGCAATAAGACTTTGAATCTATTAACGTGACACATAAGCGCTCCCACATTTCAGGCACTGCCTGAGTAGAGAAAAGGATCTTTCAATTTGTTAATAATTTTCCAGTCTGTACCAGGAGAACTTGAAATGGACAATTTACCTTACTGGTACAAAAACACCAACAAAGCTATTGCGGAATACAGAATAAAGATCTGACAGGAACCAAGTACAGTTGTGGAACATTATACCTGTGTGGCATGGTTCTACATAGTTCAGCAAGCTTAACAGAAAGCCTTCTCCATGGAATACGTGATATAAAGGAGAGGTCTTATAAGACAGCAAGATCCTCCTCAACTTAGAAATGCTCACAGGTTCGCCATGAACACTGAAGACAACATGAATTCCACTGACTGTTGCAGGAATGAAACAGTGACTTCAATTGAGGAATACCCATCCTGGCTATCAACTCTGTTTCTTCTGTTTGCTGTTGTTGGATTTTTGAGTAACATCTTAGTGAGTATTACCATCCTCAAGTGCCAATTTCTCCATGACGTCACTCACTATCTCATCCTGAATCTTGCTGTCTCTGATAGTCTCTGCTGTTTCATGTTTGGACTTGAGATGTTCCTGGATTTGCTGCAATACCCCAACAATGACACTAGTGGAATCGCTGAGAAACTGTACTGTCGTCTCATCCATGGCAACTATCTGTTCCAGTCTTTTGCTTACATTTCTGCCTATAATCTTGTCATCATTTCTCTTGAAAGGTATGTTGGCATTGTGCACCCACTCCACTACGTGCAGATTTGCAGTAAAGTTAACATAACAGGGGCGCTAGTTCTAGCTTGGTTGCTAGGTTTTTGTGCCTACACGGTTCACCTTTTTGGTGTTGTTTATGATCCATCTAAAGCAACGTATTTAAGCCGATGTTGGCTTGAACATGACTGGCGTTGGCATTTTGTGCCATTTGTGGGCGGATTCATAATCCCTTTAATCACAATGATATGGGCTTACACTCGCATCATCCAGACTTTGAAGCAAAGTGCCCTCGCTCAAGATGTCTCACTTCAAGTCACAGAAATGCGGGAGGCCACTAGGCGCACAGTCTATCTCATGCTAACGGTAACCATAGCATACATGATCCTATACATTCCCACCCAACCAGCTTACATGGTGATTGTTAATGTCAAACTGGGAATCTTTGAACTCAGTCCGCTTGGAATGCTCCTCACTGATCTAGCCAGCAAACTCCCAGTTTTTCTCAACTCCTTCATCAATCCTTTCATCTATGCATTCAAATACAAGAAGTTCCGTAATGGACTACGAGGTGTTTTGTGTACACCACGCAGGAATGGAGCAGTGTTGCAAGACCAAAGTCACCTGAGAGGCGGTGGGTCACTTCCAACTCTGTCGCAAAGTCTAGAGACACTATCAACCTGTCAACCTGCTGGAAGCTAAAAATGTCAATGATTGGTTGAAAGACTAACTGGTATTCAATGTTACTTGTTCATTGAAACCAAAGTATAGTAACTCAAAGCATACACAGTAGATTTGATATCCAGATTAAAAGAAACTTTTACGAGCAAATGTACATGCAAAGATTTTAGGAAGAAAATTCACTAAAAAGCTCTCTTTCAAGTTTTCAGGCACATTGAGTATTTGAATATTCATCCTCAAGCATCAAAAAATTCTCCATGTGGAGGTGGTAAAAACATTCTCACTAGTTTTAAATCAACGAAACAATATTGGCAAATGTTGGGCAAGGATTAGTGGAAATTTTCAACCATGCTGTACATCTGCACTGCATGTATCTAGCAGGTGTTTGTTTTGTAACCTTTAGTTGTATGCTTAATACAAAGCATTCATAAATTTTGCAGAATTATTTGAAAACTGGCAGCAGCAGATTCCATCTTTAAAATGTGGCCCTAGGGCATGCACAAACTTGAATCTAATTGGTGTTTGTCAACTTCTTTTTTCTTAAAAATTAAGAGTATCCATAAATTGTAACAAACCTTTAGACACTTCGTTGCCCAATTTCAAAATTAATACTTTGTAATTGCTGACACTGTTAAATCATTTCTGCTTGCAATGTCTACTTATGAACTAGGGAAGGGTTGACAATGGGATGAAATATGGAAATGGTTTGAATTGAGTATTGTTCAACTACTCTGGTTAGGGGTGATGTCCCGATAGTGCAGGATCCAAAAGTAGGATGGGAGGAGCTAAAGGCAAAATCTTCCAAAAGTGGGCGGCACATGTACAGTACTATTTTTATCACATGCAGTTAATATGACATAAACTTGTGTGTGTACGTCTTAGCTTTTATTGATATTTTCCCAATTAATGACATGCCGGCCAAATTACACAGGGTTTTGTTTCATTTACACAGTTGAAAGGCTGACATCAGCAGACATAATCAAATGTTAGAATTCCTGAAATCATGCCTTTCGTCGTCTCTTGCTGTGAATGATTACACACAGTTAATCCAAGGACAGCAGTTGGAAATGTTTGTCTTTTATGTCAATCAACATATATCTCTATCTTTGCAATAACTCAGGCAATGTTTAACTGACTAGCCTCAAGTGAGTTACCCACAATTGCTGAGGTTACAGTTGGTTGGAAGGCAAGGTTTCTCTGTCTAGTAATGACGAGGCAACACAAAATTAAAACTAAACAGCTCAAACCTATTAAGTTTTCAACAAGATGGATAAAAATTGAAGGTAAACATCTGATCAGCCTTAATTACCAATGAATAATTCTACTTGTTGAAAAGTGCATGTAATATCAAAGTATCTTTGTAGGATATGTGCTAAGTTCTCCCTGAACAAAAGAAAAGAATTCTGTGTTACTGTTGGTCCACACTGTGTTATCTTCTGCAGGCTAAATTCAACAAACAATTGATGATTTGGGAGTACAAGTTATCAACCACTCAGCAGCAAAGATGCAACTGAAAATTTCTGGCAACGAAACCCAACATTCTAAATGGTTAGACATACATGTAGACTTTGATCTGTTATCAATGGCTAGTAGAACCTTACAGTCAAGTTCTCACAACACAAACAAGTCCTCAAGTCTTGGGTCAAGTCACAGGCTGTCCACGACCTGCCGTTGTCTCCATCCATCTAATTACCCCCAAGTCAACTTGCGGATTGGACATTTGATGGATGAGATTGCAATTCTGACCAGTCTTGTTGGCAGAAGCATCAGTCTTTTGAGCTGGCGCACAGGCGTTTTGTGACAGGACCTATTGGACTTGATGGCTGAGCAGTGTATTTGATCCTCTCTCAGAAAGGTCAGATCTGAGGGCTGATATAGCATAGATCCTGACATAAGTGTGTATAAACAAAGTTGCTGAAAAAGCACTTTCCAACACATAGTTAATGATTATTCAGCATTGGTCACACCATCTTAGAAGACCTTCCCTCAAGCAATCTTAATTACGCAGAGATCAATCATGTAATGTAAAATAAAAAGCTCACTGTAGATCTTAGAGTATCACTTCTGAATCTATACCGCTATTACAAATCGGTCTTTATATTATTAAGGCACTTAACAATAATTTGTCACTTTAAGGCAGGTCGTGAGAAGGTAATATTTAGTTGGCTACAGAGCACGTTTTTAGTGCAGAGGGGTTACTGCCAGCGATGACCAGCTCAAGTGGAAAGGGAAAAAGGAGTGGTTATTGACAGAGAACAGTCATGAAGTGAGGGCGAGCAGTTCCCAGGGGACTTGTGTGATAATACCCGCTGTTCTGAAAAGGTCTTTACAGACGTCAACTGGAATGCATTTATGAGACATTCATAAGGCTGAATGATCAAGCACACAGACTGCCTAAACATCAGTTTTCCTTCAAGCAGACTTTATGGTCCTCAAAAAAGCAGTAGCATCAGTGTTGACATCATTCCTGAAGCGACGAGTCTTCAAAGCCATCAAATGAAGTGAATAAGTAAATTGTTCACACTAGGAGAGGATAAAGATCCATTTGTGTAAACTCACAGTATACGGTACAACGACGTAATCCTTGTTTGAGACAAAACGCATCCAAGTTGATGAATTTTGGCTGCTCTGTGTGAGGAAAGGTTCAACTATTTGACCGACCGAGGTCATCCATCTACTTTACCTGTCTGCTGTTGACCGAGTTCTGAATTCACCATGAGCACTGAAGACATCATAAATTTTGCTGACTATTGCAGGAATGAAACAGTGACTCCAACTGAGGTTTACCCAACCTGGCTATCAACTCTGTTTCTTCTGTTTGCTGTTGTTGGATTTTTGAGTAACATCTTAGTGAGTATTACCATCCTCAAGTGCCAATTTCTCCATGACGTCACTCACTATCTCATCCTAAATCTTGCTGTCTCTGATAGTCTCTGCTGTTTCATGTTCGGACTTGAGATGTTCCTGGATTTGCTGCAATACCCCAACAATGACACCAATGAAATCGCCGAGAAGCTGTACTGTCGTCTCATCCATGGCAACTATCTGTTCCAGTCCTTTGGTTACATTTCTGCCTACAATCTTGTCATCATTTCTCTCGAAAGGTACATTGGCATTGTTCACCCACTCCGCTATGTGCAGATATGCAATAAAGCACATGTAAGAGGGGCTGTACTCACAGTTTGGTTGCTAGGTTTCTGTACATACATGATTCATTTTTTTGGCATCGCTTATTTTCCATCGAAAGCAACGTATGTAGACAGATGTAGAATGAAACATGACTGGCATTGGCATTTTGTGCCATTTCTAGGAGGATTCATAATTCCTTTAATCACTATGATTTGGGCTTATACTCGCATCATCATAACTCTCAAGCATGGTACCCTCAACAACGCATCACGTCAAGCGCGAGAAATGCGAGAGGCCACTAAGCGGGTCATTCATCTCATGTTGGCAGTGACAATAACTTATGCAATCCTCTACCTACCAACCCAGCCAGTTTATATGATCATCATCACTCTTGAGCCATATGATTCAGAACAAAGATCACTTTATGTAGATCTCTTGACCAAGCTACCTGTCTTGCTTAATTCTGTCATTAATCCTTGCATCTACGCCTTCAAATATAAGAAATTCCGTGATGGCTTGCGCAGGATCATGTGTCAACATGCCAAGAGGAAAATTTTACCAAATGCTCCTAAGCACATTGATATGACACAACATGACAGCAACTTGAATGGGACTGAACGAGCTACAATTCCGATTTGAGTAAAATAATCGAATATGTGGCTCAGAAGATAGCTTTCTGATTCATTACATTTAATGAGAATGTAAAGACATCACAGAGAATAATTCTGCAAGTGAGACTTCTGTAAGTTCCTCCACACCTTATGGACACTCAAACATTCTTACCAAGAATTCCACATTAACAGTTATCTGGCAAAGCCTACCTTATTCATCATGAGATGGATCTTGTCCACATCAGTCATGGATTGGAGGCCATCCAGAGTTATACTTGCTTCTGTCTGACATTCATAGGTTACAACCTCTAGCGTCAACAGATCATCTTGCAAGCTTTCAAGGCCCTGGCATGGAAATAAATTTAAGACTTCTGATTTAGACAATCTGTCCATCACTAAAGAAAACATAACAGTCAGACTGATTGACCAGTAATAAATGTAAACATTTGAGAAGAAATAGTTATTATGTTACATATTAAACAAATACAATTTTAAAAACTTGTAAATACCTGAACATTTCTCTCTATTCCTAGATTGATCAGTTCCACAGCATTGTCAACCTACAAGAAAAAAAAATTATTGACAATAAGACCACTCACTTATCCTTAATGCCTCCCTCTATCTTCCAAATTCTTTCACTGTGCAGGGGTCCAGTAGCACAATCTCTGAACTTCAGCTTTCCACAAAGATTACTGCACTGTCCCCCCGTGGCAGTTTTTGGAGAGATGATTATCTCATGATATCTTTTTGGAGAAGACGTAATAGAATAGGAACACTCATTAGAAACAAAACCAACTTACCTGTCTCGACCGTCGTTCTATCGCCTTTGCTCTCCAAATATACCAGTCAGTTAGCAACACTTTACTTAACTTGGCAGCCCTTTGTAGAATTCAAGCAGAAATGCGTCAAAGAATATGGTGGGGTTTTTTTTTAAAATAGCTGGTACATAAATAATTTGACAAAAATTGTCAAAAACAATTGATATTAAACAAAATATGAAATGTTAAGCTTCAGGGAAATCAGTCTCTATCCATTTCACTGGTATCTGTTGAGTTGGTTTCCACTCAGAAAATAAGTTTCAGCGAACTTTATCTGTTCACATCAAATCCAATGACTTTGTAAGAATATCCTTCCATCAAAACTGTTTGATTTCTGATGAAACCAAACCTTCTGTACAATAACAATCAATTCCAATATCAATCCATGAATCTCCATCCAATTCCAATGTGTATACAAATTGTACCTAAAATGAGCCAATTCGGGTTGGTCTTCATATAGGAAGGCTCCATAGTCCATAGGGGTAGGATTGATGGCTGATTGGCAGTTTTCCCCTTCACACCAATCGGCCTCACGTTGCTCTGCCATCTCCCAGTCTAGTACCTCAGGATTAGCATTAGAACTAATGCTGATGGACAGGAAAGAAGAGGTACCGTCTGGTAACAATTGGTTTTAACAAGAAGTTCAAATCACATAACCGTGATGTGATCTTTGAAGCCTTCCATGTGATACAAACAACGAATTTCAGAAAAGATTCCTTTGCATGTGGGTTTAGCAGAAGAGATTGCCAGCCAAAATGTCATCAAGGTTGCATGACATGTGCAGTCTTGTCATTGAGTCAGTCACAAATCCAGTCCAAAGTCCTTGTACTAGACCAGTTTTAAGTAAATGGGTGAATACTGACAGGGGAATGCTGTCATCATAGTCCATGTGAATAGTTTGTGATGACATGGCTTAAGACTAGATGACTTGTAATGGACTTGCAGGGATTTACCATTTTTAAGTTACCCACTGATGGGGGTGGGAGGGTTATAATTGTCCAAAGCAGAAAAAAGCCGCAGGTTGAAAGGGTCCTACCTTACTTCAGGAAGGAGGCTGCTGTACTCTGTTGGTGAGGTGGTCTCTGGGAAGTTATTGAGGATCATCAACCAATGAGGTAAGAGGTCATTGCCATGGTGAGTGAAAAGCGTCTCGACAGCCTGCCAATCAGAATCCTGAAGGCCCGAGAAAAAAAGCTGTCTTAACCCAGGAATAAAACCTTTCTTAACCAGAGTCAAGTGTTGAGTAAAGTGGTCTAGAATGTTGTCTGTTGTGTTTCAGGATAACATTCAAGCACCTGTAGGCAACAGGGGTCCACAAAGTGCAGGTAGCGAGGACATCATGTGGACATGTCCAGGTCATCATGAACTTTTACAAAACAAAACAAACAAAAGTTTTGGAAGAAATTTGGAGTCAGAGCGATGCATCCAAAAATGAAAAGGAACATTCAAGGAAACCAAAACAAACTAATATCAAATGTAAGAGTACAAACACTCGACAAAGAAGTTTTTCCCTTTTTTAACATCACAAAAACAAGAGTCACCGACAGAGAGCTGGACAGCTCAGATGGTAGAGCATGTATGGTATCCCGGAGGCTACAGGTTCAAATCCCACTCCAGTCAATTCTTCTATTTATCTTTATAATCATTTGTAAGCACCTAGCCAGTTTGTATGACATCACCTTCAGCACTTATGGCATAGATACGTCTGTATGCATATTGAAGCTCTAATTACAGCCGTTCTGTGCATATAAAAAGAAAAGATGCATTTACACGGCATCTCTGCCTCACTAGAACCCTTGTGAATGGTCATACTGCCCTCTGGTGTTCACTGGACACCATCCATAGCCAGAACTCAGAGACAAGCAGACCTTCATGGATCACAGCACTGGTGAAGAAAAGTGATTCACTGAATGTCCTACCCTGGCAAACTGCATAGCTGCTTCCACAATATTCTGAGAACGGAATGTCTTGAAGAAATGATCGCTGTAAAATCTGGAAGCTGCCTCTCCACCTCCCAATATCACCTGTCAAAAGAGATTGTGTTAGTCCAAAATGAAAAAGATACAAGCCAATATTTCATGTAGAGTACATTACAGGTCACTGGTGCCCAAGTACAAGATATAACTATTCTTTGAAAAGCAAAGGTCATTCACCTCATATGTTTGCAGTCGGTCCAAATATGTCAACAATTTAAGACGACAACGGCACAGTTCTCTCTGCTCCAGTGTTAAACTAGTAAACAAAACAAAACGAGAAAAAAAGGCCAACAAAGGGAGAGAAGAAATAGAGAAAAGTGTAAAAGCAACAGGGAAATTCATCAACCCAATAATTTACAATACAGTATAAAGCAAGACTGCTCAATAATTATCACTTCACCAGTCACAAATTACTATGCCTCTTGTCCAACTAGAGCTCAACTTAATAAACATCTGACGGTTCTGGCTCTGTGCAGATTAAGACATTCTTACAAAAAGCCATACTCCAAACTAGCTATGGGATAAATCTGAGTATGCTTGTCCCAAAGAGTTGACTAGACTTGTCCAGTCCTCGTTAGCAAGCATTATCAGAAAGCATAGGAGAGCATCAGAGAGCTTTTCTACACATGGACTGAAGAAATGCAACCAATTTGACTCAGTTTGGATAGCACCCCCCCCCAGCCAGTTAAAAGCCATTATTCAGTTACAGCTTCATCAGCCATACCAAACCTGAAGGATCCAAAGGGGTGCAACCCAAGGTGAACAAAAGGGGGGCAAACAATGGGTCCAGAACCAGATTTTTGGGGGAGAGGGAGACTTGTTTGGGGGGCAAACGATTTAGGATATTGCTCACGAAGCCCTTAATGGCCTTCCATAGGCTGAAGCTACACATGGGGGCTTATATGACTTTTTAAGGAACGAAACTAAAGCAAAGCAAAACAATCTCCCATCTTTCAGTATTGTTTTGAAAAGAAAGTTTTGCTCCTTTTTTTAAGGAGCTATGGCCCATTACCAAGGTCCACTAGATCCATTCTTGAAGAAGACTTATCAGGATTGGAGACCTTTATTGAGATTCCTGAACTGTTTTTGTACAGCACAGGCATTGCCCAACAAGAAGCTTCTTTTGGTTGCAGATGGGAGAGGGGGTAAAAGTCACAAGCACGTCCCGTCTTGGAGACTTTCCATGGTCCATCACTAGGAAATAATAGACCCCAGCTAATAGAGTTCTATCTTTGTCAACCAGCCTGCTTCCCAAGTCATTGACCTCTCAGGCTCTAACCTTTTGAAGTTGACTTGTCCTATCAGTCGTTCTCTCTTCTCTTTGGTGGATGGTTCTTGATGAGTGCCCTGGGAGTGATCCAGTTGGTCCATATTATCCTCATCATCGACATCAGAACTTAAAATAAACCTGGAGCATATCATAGGCAAATATGGCTAAAAGAAACTTTCCACAAAAGCTAAGAATGAAGAAACACAAGGGCACATTTCTTGTATTGAAACTTGTTATGGGAAGGGGGCTGAATGTAACTTCTTTAATCCAGAATATTCTCCCAAACCCACCAGACAAATGGTCTTTGTTACTTTATTTTAACTGACTGGCAGGGCATGTGATGTGCTTATTCTAAGGATTTCTTAATCTTAGGCAGTCCCAAGAAACCAATGTGTGTATGCAGTGGAAAGAGTAGTGACTGGTACATCCTCAAAGAACATTCAGAGTGAAATCTACTGGGTAGGATTCTTGCTCCACATTTGACTGTGGTTCTGTAAGTATTCTTTTTGTTTTTGTCAGAAACTTTGGGTCTGCTTTGCCATTCCACTTTTTTCCCAACTTCCATTATTTTCTGCAGGTGTCAGTTGTAATTTTGAAATGGTTGAACTTCTTGGAGTACAAAGTTTACTGCCATCTCACGATTTCTATTGACTGCTCTACTAAGGAAGTATGCATGACAACTACTCTTTTGAAAGTGCACTAACCCTGACACCATCAGAAAATGCTTAATTTGTGTTTTGATCTCTTCATCCACGTACCTATGTCAACTTGTTTTTATTTTATTTCCAGCTATTCTCTCCCCTAACCTTTTCCTCAGCCCCTCTTTCCCTCCCCTCCCTGTCTCCTCCCACCCCTAACCTCTTGCTCTCGGGTCGATTTCCACTTTGTTCCCCTCCTGATTTTGCCTTCCAACATTCCCATTTTCTCCTCCCATTTGTCGTTCTCTCTGTTCATTCCTACCTGTTAATTTCTTCCTACAATTTTCCATTTCTAAATGTCTGGTTTAACAGCATTCGCTTCCCTGTCCTTATCCCCTATTTCACTGGTATTATGCATATTCATGTAGATGTTTATGGTACTGATAGTATTTTTTATTTTTTTAAGTGGAATTCTTTTTCATAAATACTGATTATTACTTTTGTGTAACTCTACTGTGATAGATTTAGTATTCCTATCTCTTTTTGTTTTACTTGGGTCATCTGACTGGTTCTTGTACTTGTTCACTGTTATTTTTGTTTTCTTGGTGTTATATTTGTTGCAATTCTCATTGTTGTCTTGAGTTTGCTTCCTTCTATCAAACTAACCCAATTTCCCTTCCCCTTTCACATCTCACCATTCCCCAAAATTTAGTTTGGATGCATTCAAATACCTTTTTCAAAACTGATTTCAACCTATTTTTGTAGCATTTCTGTACGTGTAATCTTTTGTAAATTGCATTTTAATTCCCTTGTTGGCAGGGATTACACAATCAAACAAACCGTTTACATATAATAATAAAAACCATTACATACCATAAACAACAATGGTATTCTGTTTGTACATCATTCCACTTCAAGTTTCCCGTCCCCACCACTTCCCCCACCCTCTCTGTCACAACCATACAGTACTGATGTCATTGCTTCTTTTATTTGTGTAGTTACCAGCAAAGTCATGGGGTTCTCAGGTAGATTTGATGGAGACCACAAAGGATGGATAGTTGTGCTGGCACTCTGGACCAGGCTCTTCATCTGGGTTGGAATCTACAAAAGCTTTGGAATGATGATTCCCATTCTACAAGATCAATTTGATACCACCACCTGGATTCTGGGTGGGACAATTTCCATTATAGGCACAGCAACTGGCTTAGCAGGTAGTGGATAGCAATCACATTTTCACCAGAACATGAAAACCTTGAGTACACCTTGAATGTACACAGCAAAGGCTCTAGCATACATCAGGCTCTAGCAAAAGTCATCAAGAAAAAGTTGTCCTATACTTTTGCACCTTCTGTACGTAAACAATTTCAAAAGGACTGATTAGGCTTTGTGACATTTTGGCGTAATTCCTGAAAAAACCTCTGGAGGTAATTTCGTATTATCCAAACTACTTGTGCTAATGTTGACTGTGATATCCAAGGTTTCCCTCTCCTGCATTCCCCAAATTAAACCTGTCAACTGTTTTCTAAATTGATGTTAAATTTTACATGCACAACCCCACTGTTCTCTTCAACCGTTTTCTGTCTGAATAAAATGGATTTTAACCCTAAAAGAGCTGGGGGCTAAAAACTCGTCCAATTTTTATGCAACTTGGCATGCATGTAGAGTCACACCTTATCATTACAAATGTGAAGTTTGAACCTAATCAGACATATCATATTTCTTGTTACCTGGTTACAATCATTTGAAATTCATGGCTACCTGTGTGCCAGTATGCATGCATCGAGCACCACAGCAAAAAAGTATACATTTTTAGCTTTTCTTTCTCTAGAAAATGTGCGCTGCACGAAAACAATAACTTCAATGTTTGCTAAAATGGTGTCAAGACGACCACAAAGAGTAACTCTAAAACTCCTAAAGACTTAATTCCTGAAACAAAAATGCACTGCGGCAACATCAGAACAAAGTTGAATTCCACCCTCCCCGGCTCTTTAAGGGTTAAGACAACTTGAAACGTGTGTAGTAAACATCAACATGGGTGGTGCACAGGTTCAACCAATTTTTCTTTAAAATGTTATGTGGAATAATGACTGACATTTCTAGTTGATACCCAATCTTACCATACTTACACTTAGTTATCTGTATGCAAACCTTCCTTCCAAATCTTTATTTCTGCAGGAATCTTTGCAAGACTGATTGGTAAATCATTCCAAATTGGTTCCATTATCCTGACATGTGGTTTGATGAGTGCTTTCTGTCCTATTCTTGCTGCATTTGCAACTTCTCCTGCCCTGATGTCTTGTACCTTCATTCTATTTGCAGGTACATGTACACGTATGCGATAGTCTTTCCATAAAACACTTAATTTTGATGTGCCGATGTCAGAAATACCAACAGAATAACCACAAAGCAATCATGAATACACGCTTGGAAGAAGGAGACCTAGACCCACAGCACTTGAAACAAGACTAGTACACGGCCTCTGTCACTTTTCAAATTGCCTGGTACATAACGAGAAGACAAGACAGGGACCAGTGAAAAGTTCTAATATCCAGACTAGCTCCCATTTCCTTAAATAACATCTAGCAATGAAGGGAGAAGAAGTTATCTTGTTCTCAACTTTAGCATTCTGTACTTTGTTTAGATGGAAAGGTTTCCCTTACTACAGCGCCCTCTTCAGGTGATGAATGTCCCATGATCTGGTGTATGCTGCTGGCATTCTCTAATTCCAAGTTGAAAGATCTCATGCTCACATACAGCAAATAAATATGGCAACAGTAAGCACCATCAATATTCGTTTGAATGTGCACAATCCAACAAAATCTTTGCAGACAATGCAGCTGACCACAGGCAAAAGACATTAACATCACTCAAGTGCTTTAACCCCTCTCTCTTCATGATCAAAGGGTTATTTGTACAGTCTGGAATCCCAGTCAGACACAAAGTTTCTCTCACTGCAGGTACAGCATTTGGAGTTTCTGGTGTGCTGTTGAAAGAGGCTATTGGCCGTCATTTTACCAGGAACTATGCAACAGCCACCGGTATTGCACGAACAGGTGATTCTATCGGGCTGTTTGTGCTTGCACCTCTCATCCATTTATTCCTTGACACCTATGGATGGAGAGGAACCATGCTACTCCTAGGCGGTATCTTCATGCATTTTGTTGCTTGTGGTGCCCTCACTCTGGTAGCAGGAGCATCTTCAACAGGCAGATACCAAGAGCTTCCAACAAATGATGTCACTTCTGAACAGAGACAAAATCCAGATTTTTGTGCCGCACTATTTGAGAATCTTGTCAAGATCTTTGATATCAGACTTCTTGCTGACTATCGTTTCTGGTCAATTGCAATCATTACATGCAGTACCAAGTACTCTTTTAACATGTGGATCATTTATTTTGTTTCACAAGCCCAATCAAATGAATTTTCCTTAGAGCAGGCAGCAACATTTGTCACAGTGGGAGGCATTGGAGGTTTATTGGGAAAACTTTTTCAGGGATACCTGGTGGACCGTGAGATAATATCAAGTTGTCTCCTAATGGGCACAGCTGCTACTATCTGTTCTGTGTCGTTCTGTGCAACTCCTTGGCTAATATCTTATTGGTCAATGATGACATCATCATTCCTGATCTTAACCTGTTCTGGTGTTATGAGCTGTTTGCATGATGTTCTGAGTAAGCAGGTCCTTGGTGTGGACTTACTAGCTGGAACTTTTGGCTGGTTAGGTATCACTGGAGCCATCGTAGATGGCACTCTTGGCTTTTTACCTGGTAAGCCACATTTTTATCTCCACTATTTCTAACACTGTTCGCATAACTGTTAAGGTCAGGACCACCATAGCAAAAAACCAAAGATAGAGACTACCACCAACCTTTAAAAATCTGAGAAACGAGTGCAGTCTGACAGACTGACAAACAAACATCTGCTTTTAACCAAACAAGGAAGTGAATGGAGGAAGTAACGAGGATCGCGGACACAGTGACGAGATCAAGCAGGCCAAAATCCAGACTTAGACCAGATTGTGCTTTTGAGACCACAACCAACTGTCCCAAGACTGAGATTTAGATAAAACAAGACTAAAAACACCATAGAGGGATCCCAATACGACGCCTTTAGTGTCGATCTGCCCACTTCTGCGTTTGAAAACGAGGCTGTATGTATATGTTGACAGTAAGGAGTCCAGACACAAGACACATGAAGACATGTTAAATTTCAGGCTGCAAATGTTTGTAGAAGAGTCTTTCAGGATGACTCGACACGTAAAATCAAAAGAAAAAATAATGGCAATTTACCGCAAACTAACATCATGTATCTACATGTGCAGTGGGCGTGGTTTAAACTTAAGAGGCGTCACACTTACAAAATGGATACTGCATGTACTGCATCAACTCTGCGGGTGTGTGTGACGAAGTTCAACACCGAGCACCTCGGTTTCGATGCGGATATGTGCAGACGGCGCTAATGTGAAATCTCTCTAAAGAGGGTCTTAAATCTTTTCATCTGACATTGGGTAATATGCAATCATAATTATAAACTGATTGCAATTTTCCTATTTTTTTCACTTAAACATCAATCTTTCGTTTTGTCTTTATTTAGGCTGGACCTATGACACAACAGGGAGTTACATCCCAGCTTTCATTTTCATCGGTTCTACACAGTCTCTTGTAATCTTCCCCCTTCTGGTTCTCAGATGTCGTGGATGTGTTGAATGATCCGACCTGTTTTATTCTTACTGAAGCAAAGCCTGGGTATTTCATCTCATGTTTACATCATTAAAAAGTCCCAAGATCATGTCTTGACACCAATGATATTGGCTAAACGGCAGTCGTGATGAATTGTTGTCCACTTCCAAGTATTTATCCAGATATCTTTCACCATTTTGTATTTCATTATGTTTCCATTCTAGGCTGGATCTATGACACAACAGGGAGTTACATTCCAGCCTTCATTTTCATCGGTTCTGTGCAGTTTCTTCGGATCTTTCCTCTTCCGATTCTGAGATATCATGGATGTGTTGAATGATCAAAGATACATTTTTCTCTACATAAAGAAATACCATTTCAATTCTTAATATCTTTCCGTTACAAATATGACATGACCTTACTCTTTCAAGCACATGTAATCTTATACATGTATTACAATCTATAATGCATCAATCAAGAATCCATGAATTCAATCCATGAATAATTCAGTAAGAGGAAACTGGATGACATCCCAACCAGTCTGGTGAAATTATGGGCATAGCAAATTTACCAATCACATGAACAGTTATATTGCCATCTGTCCAAGTTTTCTAGCAACTTTCTTCCACAACTTTGATCAATTCACTTTCCCGGACAAGTGTCAAATGTTGAATGTTTTTACAACTGTCAAACTGGTATATGGTGAAGTAACTTTGGTGGATCACAAAATGACTTTTGCCCCGGCTTATATTCCTGTAAATATCTTTTCAACTTTGTTTTTCATTCAATTCTAGAAGTTAATGTATGTGTACGAAGTTTTGAATTCATGTTGCATATCACTTGTCAGTAAATGACGTCAAAGCAAGGTATTATTAGGATTGTTCTATGAAAAGTTTCTTCCTTTGAGAAAGGTTGACATCTGTAAAGGGTCTTGCTGTAAAAACAGGTATATAGGTAGCTATTTGGTGGGGGATATGGTAGTCTGGTAACCCGTCTCAGACAAACTGTTTGCTCAGAAGTTCTTCATGGAAACAATCTTGTTACCATCCCACAAGGGATATGGTCCCACAGTAATGAATATTCATCAATCTGTTTGACATACCTGCCATGGTCCTCTCCACTGCCAATGGCGATGAGAGCTTCTAGGTCCGTGCCGCTTAGGCCATACTGCAGGAGTTCCCTAGCTGCATCAATGTCGTCAGGCACTCTCTCTAAGCACTCATGAAGCACCCAGGCACGCTTGGTGATTTTACTCTGAGAACAGATTAGATGAAGAAACATTATTAATCAGTCCACTTAACCCTAACTCCATGGGAGGAACTTTCCAACCCTAAAGTACCAAAAACCAAGGCAATTTAGTGCAATCACATAAACAGCAACGACAAATCATCTAAATTATGTTTCCCTGAACAGCAGAGTAAAACTCCTTAAAGACTATAAAGAAAGATTCTCCCTGGATCAAAGTGTCACACCTTGTAACTATTTGCCATTGAGTACTACAAGTCAGTGCAGAACTTTGGCAAGCAGTTTGCAAGAGTTTTGTATCTTAAATTTCCAACAATAATAATTTGAAAAAGAAATTGATGCGAGTGGAAGTGAGTTGATACTTATAGCTCCACAAAACTGAGCTGGTGTTAAACTGAGCCCCAAAACTTAATTTGAATGTTGAGGTACAAGGTATGCCCCTCAGAGACACAGTGTAATAGGCACAATAAACTCAGCCCTTTGCTAGGCTGAGGAGAACAACTCACAAGCTGGCTTGGGTGGGCTCAGAGAGCTAAACCGGCCAGCACAGTATCTAATTCTGTCAGCAAGCCTTAAATCCTCAGCAATGCAGCAACAAAGATAACAGGGCTTGCACTATGGTTTCTAAAAAGAATCTTGGATCAATGTTCTGATGACTAGGAAGAACCCCTAACATCAGGATGATTGTTCAGTTGGTAGAGCACCAGCACTGTGTTACCCAGGTTCTTGGTTCAAATTCTGCTCAATGTTTTTCCCGTTCTTCCGATTATTGAATAAAGGGGATGTAATACACATTTCCAAGTGTGATTTATTTGGTTGTTGGAAATCAGAGAGAACCTCACCAAATAATCCTGTATTGCTGCGATGGAGACACGAGCTTTTCTCCATTGCCTCTGGTACACAAGATCTGCATCCAGATTGAAGCGTCGGGCCAAGACAAGAGCTTCACCATACTCTTCATTCTCAATCTGAGACAAATTAAGAAGTTAGCAATCTTTTTCTATCAATGATTTAGGCATGATTTGTTTCTGATCACAAATAAAGGGATCTTTGCAAAAAAAAACAACACACACTCAAACGCCAGATAGAAGCTTAACCACTTGCCTCTGAGGTTCCCTTAGGTTTGTATGCATAGCCGGGATGCACAAATTCCATACAAAACAAAAGACTGGACTGCGGGGAACTGCTATCATTTTCCAGTTGGCATTAGCAAAGGTAATCCTTCAATGTTTTGAAACACTATACCACTGTTAGTGGCATTCAGCAGCCACAGATTATCAGCGGTGACAAAAGGGCTCCAGCACTCCAGTAATGAGCGATACAATACCGCTGAACGCTATTCGGGCTGCATTTGTAAAGACACCACTGCCATTCAGCAACACTCTGGACCAATGTCAGGAGCAAAGGAAATTACGCAACACCGCACAATTCTTGGCCCTCTTTACTGGGCGGCAGGCCTGGCTGCAATACCCAGGCATCAGTGGAGGTTGCCTGTCAGATTAGTGTCGACACCAGACAGTTATTCATGTGAGTGTAAGCGTCGGGTAAAGGAAGTTATGAATTTTTGAAGAAATTCGAAACGGAAAATCTTGAAAATTGCCCGAGAACTCACTCCGCAAGCGCATATTCCACCCAGCAGGAAGCGGTTATTGAGGGGAGACAACAAAGAAATGCTTCATTTCAAAAGGACTGAGGTGAGGTTAGAGAACGAGATGAATATTCAGTGGTAAACCAAGGTGAGGAGTATGATTTATAATCAAATTCACATGCCTGTATTAAGAGAGATGAATTTGAGTAAGATTGGCTGACAGGGATGTACTACAACACTTGCTGATGCTTTCTTAGCTTCATTTCCACTTCTGATAACATGGTATCCAGTTCACAGTGTGAATGGCCAAGTATTTGACCATCAAGCTTACCCTTCTGGCATACAATTCCTCTGGTGTCGTTTTCTGGAGACTCACCAGACGATATGTCCGACTCACAACTCTAGAAGTCCAAAAAGTCATCAGATTTAGTAAATGGTGTTTTTCCTTTTGTTCAAGATCTTCACAAAGAATGACCACGAGCTAGGAGTTGTTTGCGGATCTCTTCAGAGACAAAAGTGTAATAGGTTTAGGATAAATAACCGCATGTATATCCACACACTCAGCTCACAAACTCTTGCCAGGAAGAACAATTTCACAGGGAGTTTTGTCCCACACCTTTCTCTAAACTGAGTATTCTCTTCAACAATAACTTTAACAATAACAAGTTACTTTTTGATATCTGTAACTGATGGACTGTAACTTGCAGGATTTTTATTTCTGTATTTGAGATTGAATATGGAGTGTGTTGGTTAACTCAGACTTACTTTGGACGCTTCCTCGGTGGTTGAAATCTATCACTTTCTGTGACGAAGTACATTGCCTAGACAGACAAAAAAAAAGTTTTCAATATCTTTTTTTTTCAAAACTACTTTAGACTATTAACTCGAAAGACACCTGAAGATAACTCTGAACATAAAAGAGTTCGTCTATCACTGCTCAAAGATGAACAACTAACCTGTTTCATGAGTTTGGTTGTTCTTGTGAGCATCGTCACATCTTCATCATCATCATCGTCGTCACTATCATCCCCGTCCTCATTCTCCGGAGGTTGGTTCTTACTGTCATCTGCATCGCGATCAGACGGCATGCGTCGACGCTTCAGGGCGGACGTTTTGCTCTCACACTATGCCAAATAATGAAAACCAATGGATTTTCCTATTTTCCTAAAAATGACACGTCCAGGAAATTCTTACACTGAAAATTATGAAGGTTAACTAGGGCAACTTTTATAGATGGATGTATTTGTAACGTACCTTGCCTACTTGCTACATCAGTATGACAAAGATAAATATCCTTGAATCCTTGTACTATTGCTGCATGTGAACATTTAACATCTACATCCCTCTGTCAAAATATCCTGTGTTTATGCACATTCAAATGAAAATTGATTGAGGCATGCACACACTGCAGCTTTCATTTCCCTCGTGCCTAGTCTGCACAACAAAAAATCCTGCAGTCTGTGGTCTTCCTTACTTCAATTGACAGGAACCCTTTGTCAGAGGCTATGTTGACTCTTGGCGCCGGCTCAAACCACTCACAAGAATCGCCCAGGAGATTAGTCAGGTGCCTTGTGGAGGCCACAGCCACAGCACCTGAGTAACGGGCCAAGATCAAGGCCTGAAGAAACAGAGACAAGACCACTGTAATCTTAGTGTGAAATCAAATGACAGCAGGTACAATTTACAACACATACAACCAACCAGCCTACAATCAAAAAAAGAAATCACAGAGAGACGAAAAAGATAACATACACTTTTCATATTCCTCAATTCAAGCGCTATAAAGTTTTACCTTTTCAGACCAAAAGTTGACATCAATCAAAGAATGAGATGCTGGTTGACCTGTAACAGGTGAATAAAACCAAGAAATAAACAGTATAAAGACTGAGAGTTTCCGCTTTGGAGTGAAACTCAGAACATTAAGATTCACAAGGTGTAATCAAAGAGTTGCTTAACCCTAACTCCCTAGGGTGTATGTAAAATCATCGGAGGATTTGGGTCTGTTAGGACTATTGTCAAGATAATCACAGGTCATATCCAAAGTTGCAAGTAACAAAGGATAGTAAATGACAAAGTGCGACTTGACTTACAACTTATTATCGACTCCTAATTGACTTGCTTTTATTTTGATAACTTTGGATTGACTTCCGACTGGCAAACGATTGGTTTCTGACTGGCTCATGATTTATGCCTTTGCTCTGATCAACTTGTAAAGCCATATGCAGCTGCAAACCCTAAATTAATTTGAGAAGTATTAATGAACACAGACAGACACTAATGCAACCTGACAGACGGACAAACAAACATCTGCTTGTCCAAACAAGGAAGTGGACAGAGGAACTAACAAGGATTGAGGCCACAGTGGTAAATTACCTTCTGCTGGCTTCTTCTTGGATGGAATCAGAATGTTTGGATTCTGCTCATCATACCCAGGCTAAAACCGTAAAAAATGTAACAAAACTAACATGAAATGAAACAATGTTGACTGGTGGAATCAAGTGCAGGTTAGCCAATCCTCTCTTACAGAGCAGTTCTCTTGAATAAAGGATTCCAGTATTCTCTCTTAATAAGAATTGACTTAAAAGTATGAATCTGCTTTGCTTACTTTTTTTGCTTTTAAATCATCAATATACACAACAATTCCCATTTCACCTGACTTTCTGGAGACCAGATTCCCCTGTTCTTGAGAGATGGTACGTCCCAGAGAGAGACCAGACCTGATTGATGAACAGTCACCAATTGCTTTCCCTCCGGTGACATGCACATCTTGTAGATTCCATCCTGACAAGAAGTACAACCAATTTGAACAAGGTTACTTCAATCATTTAGCATGTAGCCACAGGATATCTGCCCATTTTTTCCATAACTGATCTTTAAATACATTTTCCTTTGAAAAAACTTGTTAGCTAAACATAGTTGCAATCAAGTCCCCACAGGTCTGTCCACTTCTACACCCATTCTCAAGTCAGAAGTTTCATGTTCAAACAAACTATGCTATTCCTTTGTCATTTCTTGTTCCTTTTCATCTCAATGTTTGTCACCCGACTTGTACATAACTTTAAGACTGGCATCGGAACAAATTAGCCCAAATTCTTTCACTGTGCAATGTGCAGCGGTCCTGCATCAAAGACTCAAACCCCCAATTTCTCCAACCTGTAGTAAATCTGGAGTTAGAAGTGGGATACCTGTTTGTCCACTCTGTGGAAGATTGAAATAGATGTCATCCTTCGGAGAAGACGGCGAGAACTTCCAGACTACAAAAACGAAACCAGGAAGAAGAGACACTTAACCTGCCTTCAAAGTGGAACATATTGAAGGCAACAGGTACACTCCAGTTTTAGACAGAATCCTTTATTGATGAATTCAGTGAAGAAAGTTGCTAAATGAAATGCACTACAGTGAGGCCAAATTCAGGATTTTTCAAAGGACATTCTCTTCTCTGTAATTTCCTTATACTTCAATCTCCAATACTTGAGATCATCTCAACACCTACATGAGGATATTAGAAGTTTCAAGTCAGGTAAAACTTCACATGTTGAAGACTTGTTCCCAATCTCCAATGAACACATTTTCTTACTTTCAAGTCAGTAACCATCTAACAGTATGGTTTCTTATCAAATATCAACAATAATTAGGTGTTGTTTTAAGTAAGGAAATGATTTAAATCTGCACGTCTTGCACCCAACCTGCACTAATCTAACCTTCTTGATCTCTCCAGAATAGTCAGTCACCAGTTTGTAGTACGGTTCCTCATCCAACCGCCTCCATGCACTGATGCCATGTCTCGTTGCCATGGTAACTGCATCCTGCCCTTCCTCCTGTGAGCAGGAGCCAATCAGAAGCAATGAGCGGGTGTGTAGGTACACAGCACTGCTGACACCCAATGGATGCTCGCTACCAAACTGGAAGCAGTGATTGAGGACGTAGCCATCTGTTGGACTACAAAAATAGAGAAAACAGGAAATCTGATTTCTGCAATTCAAATCCAAAACTTAGAGGTCGTGACATTTCAATCTTTGCAGAATAAAGCAGCGGCCCTCCAACTTTTCAGACTTTGTAACTGAGATAACTTAGATGACATTAACTCTCCTAAGCTTCCTGATCAAACAGCCAAAAAGTAGTGCATCTTCATGACAATATGCAGGTGCTAGGTTCAAATCCTGTTTCAGATAAATACCCCTGGCATGTAAATCTTACAGGTCAATATAAACACAAAAATGAAATTAGAAAATAAGCAAAGATAAACCGATTCAACCTCTTCCCTGTTAAGCTATTTCATCTGACCTTTAAGACAATTCATGAAAACTTACAGTGTTAGAGAATATCTTCTTGGCTTGCCTTCTTACCTGACTAAGTAGCTATGTAGACTGCCGTGGTATGTTATTACAATCAGCTCAGTTGACCTAAGACAGTAGCCAAAAGCCTTATACGAGTTAAGTACAGTACCATTCCATATTTTTCCAATTTCATATTGTGTGAAAATGATCATGTGCGCATCAGACTATCAACCAGCTAGCATGGGGTACCAACCAGCTTCCAAGACACAGTTTCAAAATGTTATGTCCAATGGATGTGACTTGCTTAGATGATAACAGAGAGTCATTCCTGCTTCTGACTCAAGTGTGTCAACCCCAGTGAGTATTGAACGAAACCCAGCTACATGGTTACCCGTCCAGGATTAACACATTACCATGAGTATACTCATAGTAACTGGTGTACTGGATTGTGACACTCGTAGAAAATGAAAAGCTATTGTAATGTAAATTGAATGCACTGGCATGACTGAAGAACATAGCAAATATGCTCCTGGCAATGTGGAGCGTGTACATCCTTAAAATGCTCATGTTCACATAGACACCTGAAAGGTACCTACTAAATATCCGCACATGTGTACAACACTGGGCAAATGGGAACACCCCTTTGAAATTATGCGCGGCAGTCACCATGTTAAAAGCATTTTACTCACAACAAAATTACCTGAATGTGAATGTATGTGAATGTGATTAAGTGAACATCATACCGTCAACCACATAGCATGAGAACTAATGTGACTTTTATCTAATGAATTTTTGAACTTTCAGGATAATTATTTCAACTTATTTCCACTAAAAAAGAGCCTCCATAGCCAGTCACCTAGTGGATACGCTGTTTGAAAATGAGACAAAATATGCTGACCACTTTCTCTGTTGGGCCAATCAAATTCTCTGACTTTTCCCTCACTGAGAAAAGGGAATCTCATCATCCAAGTTTTCCCTGATTTTCAGGACGGCTGGGGACTCTGCCATTCCAGTCTTGCTGCCAGTCAATATCTTTGCAAATGTGCCACTTTTTATTTCCATACATCTATTTCAAATTACCACCTGTTGTATAAGTCAAAATATGTGACTATTTCATGTAGCAAAACTACTGGAGCCTTGAAATAACAAATATCACTTTTAGAAAGTAAAGTCAAAATTTAAAGTCAAATAAATAAAGCCTCTTTGGACTTTGACTTTTCCTTCCATCAGGCACACATTGTTTTACCCTTTGGCACAATCTGGCCTCACCATTTTGTGCTTTTCTTGTGCTGGGTGAAGATGAGAGATGCCACGGCACAGCTGAGGTCCAAGGGAGTTCCTGGAAGCTGCTGCTGTCGGGATGTCTATACACAAACAGGAAATGAAACAAAAATAAGAAAAATAGTTCATTCCAAGTGAAGTGAGATGATTTCTATGTCTGTGACTTATCTGTTCACAAGTATACCATCACTTCTGAGGATTTATGAGAAGAAAGTATGATGGGATATGCTAGGAGTATGCATGTAATGTGACCAGCAACCGGCTATTGAAATGCTCTTCACTCTCTCCATTGGTAAGTTATTGCAGAGCCGTCTATTGTTCAAACACAGTTATAAATTGGAAGATTTTCTAGCGGTAAGATGTTATCTGAGAATAGGTCCCTACGTCATTCAAACTAGCCTCAATATTTAATCTGGATTTTGGAAATCTAACAATGTTTTAGGGAAGCATTTTGAGAATATGTCTGATTTCACCACGGGCACATTCTTTGTCTTTCAACTTTCAAGGGACATCAAGTTCCATGTAAAGCCAAAGTGGCTGGGATCTACTTTCTAACTACATAGTCCAAAACCTGTCGGGTTTTGAATGATTCAGGATGATTAGGATTAATTGGTGATATTTCTTACCTTCTCAATTGTGAACAGAATGCTACCCATGAGGTCCACAACACGTACGTTGCCACTGCTGTCCGAACAGGCTAGCATGGTGGCGTCTGGACTCCAAGTTAGCTTTCTCCACTGAGGGTACAGATCCTTTGGAACTGAGGAGAAAAAACAAGAAGATAAAGTCACTGATGGACTTTGATATCAAAGTTTTTATCTCAGTCCAAAGAAGCCAGTTCAAAGAATTGAAACTTGGGTTAGGAGATTCTAACATCAAATGGCTAAGTGGATGCCATGCAGGAAATGTCAATGACATTTTGTGCCTGACTGACAATGACAGGGAGGTCATTTCATGTGAATCCACTGGTCACTGTAATGTGTTCCTCGTGTCATTTGTACACAATTTTCAGACTGAATGACAACTATTTGTAGCATATTTGATGATACGGCTGTCACACTGTTGCTGGATTCTGTTGAATTCTATTTGGATGCTTTCACGAATCAAAATCTAACTGTCAAAACTGAATGCAGATGTTCTCTCCACACATTATATCCAGCGTACGTACAATGAGTGAATTCCATGCTATATAAACTGGAATGCTTGTCTGCTTACTTGAGCATTTGCCAAGACTTGAGGTGTAGTCATCTCTAGCCGATCGTATCTCGATACAACTTTCTTCTAGAATGGCTAATAACCGATCATTGCTATCGGACAAATACATGAAACAGAAAAGAACGACTACAGAAAGAAATTGTCATCATAAAAAATATCATTGATACACGTACTCAAAAATGTCAAAATGTCAGTGCATTGAGATGGATAGGTCTTGTGCACTTTCTGAAGCAAAAAGCAAAATTCGTTGCATCCATAAATTCTGCAGAAGCGATAAGTGTGCACATTTACTCGTTTTGGATTGGCAAGGAAAATTCCATTAGCACTGAAACAAAGCAACCTGAGAACTAGCAATATGTAGACCTGTAATGCAGGTAATTCTGGTTGGCACAAAAATGTGCATTTCAAGGACTACAAGGGGCAACCAGAGAGCACTTCATGAGCCTGAGCCAAAATGCATAAGAAGAAAGGTCAGATATGTAGTCTGTACCTTGTGGTGGCCATATGCCAGCTGATCTGAGCGTTGATCAGCTTGATGAGAGCTGCTGGAAGGGAGCAAGGAGTTGACGTCCTGGAAGAATGACAAGAAACACAGATCACCAATGCCTTAATTCCCTCATCAGTTTTTGACTGAAATCTTCCTATATCCTCCGAAATCCAACAGAGTGTGCACGTAGGAACCCAACAGCACTTTCTTCATTGTAACATTGCAATAGGCATCAATCTCCATTGGTTGGGCTCTACTTTCTTTGGTCATGAGAAAGCGTCCAAAACCTCCTGGTTGATTTTAACAGATTTGAGGGAAGTTGGGGCTGATGGTGGAACCTACGCACCTGATCATGGGAATTTTTGTAGTGCCTGAATTTGAACCAATGAATTCTGATCACTAGACTCTAAAAGCGAGAATCAATCCTTATATTTCACATCATGGACGAAAGCAAGCTGTCAAAATGACCTACTATCACAATGCAATGGTGCTTAATACTTCTAATTCTTGCTTTCATTCACAACTTGACTGCAAACCAATCTGTTATCTTCTGTCCTCATCAACACAAGCTGCCAAAAGGCACGACCTTGTCCCACTGATTAAAACTATTTGATAATATAAGTGTACAAGGACACAGCCTCTCAACTGGTGTTCCCAATGGGTGTTCTGTTGCGAGTGAGTCAATTTTGGTATTTCATGTTTCCTGACCTCAACGCGTCAGTCTGGATGTGACCCAAGAAATCACATCTTTTAGTACAAAGCACTATGGGGTCACTAATGCCTTGTAAATAGTCAGATTCAACTGTCACGTCTAGGCAGTGGCATGTGAATAGAGATGGACAATCTTGTCTCACCTCAATGGCAGTCCAGTGCTGCGCAAAAATGTCCATGCTGATCCTACATGGTGCAAAATAAAATAGCAACGGGTGAAAAGAAGACTTGGAAGCACGTTCTGAAGGTATGTTACGCCTTACAAAGGCACGTCCAAGATTTAGCACACCGTGTGTCCTACACGTAATCAAAGTTCTACTCACTCTACTTTCATTCTCTTTTGAACATCAGGAAACAATTCCTGCAAGAATTTTCACATCACTGGTCCTTGTGATGATTGTGTGATGGAAGACAATATGCCATTACCTATATGCATGGGACCAAAACGGGGACCTTTTTGCAGACTTGGCCATATCTGTGCAATTTTGTTTTGGAAAAGATCTTCAATTTCTTTAAGGTGTCCGAAGTTCTCCTTGAGTCCTGTTTGACCAGGCAAGATTGTTTGTAATACCCCTTTGATTTTAAAATCACACACAGGTACATGTAATGGTGTTATTGGAGGATAATAACTACCTAGTACATGGCAGGTTAGCAGGTGGTGGAAGACTGGCTGACTGTGACACACATGACACACATTTCTAAAGTCTTAAAATTCTTTCCCACAAATTCAACTCACTGTAAGCAGCAGAGGATAACTTTCCAACAAGGGATCCTTTGGGTTTCTCTGCAATGACCGTAGTCTGCAATGAGTAACAATGCATTGCAAGTAATGATGGCAAAACAACATTCAAGTTAAAATGACAGACCGTCCTAAATTCCAATTATGAAATGCAGCATGATATATCCGTTGAATTGAAGGAAAAAGTTCGGAACACAGACATTAAAGTCTTTTCAGCCATGTCAACATTTCCGCAAAAGCTGAATGAGGTACGATGAAAAATGTGGAGGTAGGATACAAGACTTCTTTCGAAATATCTAAGAATTTTCACACCTTAACTACATCTTAAACTGGTTCCAATTCATCATGATCACTCATAATTTTTTTGAAATACACCTAGAAAGAGAGGCTTTGTCATAATATCCAGATCAATTACTTATATTAATGCTAATATGACTTATTTGAAAGAATAAAAATTCATGCCTCACTGTAAGTAACTTGAAATGAAATTGACAAAAATTAAAACTAGTGAACGAAAAAGAGATAGTGAGTGATGGAAAATCAAGCCATGTTAAATAAAAGTGTTTTTTTTCCTCAAACTGCAGCACTACACCAAAGGCTTTACAAAACAATAAATGCCAAAAATAATTCCTCATTCAAGAGACAGTAACTGGCAGATTTATCAGAACTGGGGCATTATCGATACCTCACAAAATGACGTTTGTGACGTACGGGCACAAATTTCGGTGACGTACAGTATACAGCCAAGCTGAACCGTTTGCAGACGACATTGTTCCGGTTGCTTTAGTGACATCCAATGTTCTTCATAATATTACTCCATGGAGGATTTTACTTTTTAGTAGTGTAGGATTTTAGTCAAACTTTCAACTACTACTGGTAGTACACTAGTAGTACTGAGAATGAAGCCACTATATTATGACAAAACTTCTCTCTCTACATGTATTCCTGAAAAAAGTCTTTTGGTCAAATTGGTCGAAGCACCAAGTCAAAAGTGCACTCATTATGGTGACTCGTAGATAGGCCTACATGTACACGTACAACCCAGAACTTCTGTCGGAAATACACAAATAGCGCATTGCATTGCCTGGTCGGTCATGGTGGTGACTAGCCCCACTAGTGTGGCACGGATCACTCCCGATTTATAAGTCGGGAGTGAGAGTCCGTGCCACACTCACTAGTTGGTGACGTGGACTAACGTTAAACGACCGACCGATTTTTATTAACCGACAAAGACTGTCGATTTTCTCACAACTATACCCTTCCCATTTCTCAAGAGGCCATTTACTCACCAAGGTTTCTGGCTCCTTTGGCCATTCCGCGAGTACAAGCAGATCATACAAAATATTTTCGGCGTCGTCTTTATCGCTCAGATTTATATCCGTGGAAGTCGCCATCTTGAATGATTCGTTTGTTTGTATAAATTTATACTCCTCCATAGGGGGCAGGGTTTCTTGTGTACTAAAAGGGGGTGGTCAGTTTCCAACTGACGGAAGCCGAATACTTGATTCAACTCGAATTTTTTTTACCTCAAGTCACTATATTTAAATAATTCGAAGCAATTTGAGTCACAAAAAATAGTGTACCATAATAGCTGCGTGTAATAATACATATTAGGATATTCCTGCCTTTTTGTCTTCTTGCAACTTCTTCACAATTACTACTAGAAAGAAGTTTTTAAAAATTCACATGAGGGACTACCCGCACTGGGAAAGCTTGTTTTCAATAAAATCTTTTTGTTATGAAGAAATCTACTGGGACTCACAACCAATCTTTAGCCATGAACACAGTTCTTAAACTGATTAATAGGAGGAGAACATCTTTGCGGAAAGCTCGGGGGTTGTGGAAAATTGTGATCTTCAATGTTTATAAGGGCCTAGACTGACAAAGAAGTGAACCACACAAAAATAACAAGTGTATCTACCTCTTTTGAAATACAAATTTATTTATGTTGTCACAATTTACATAATAGTCACAGGTAGTCACCTAGAAAAGAATGCTTCCAGTCTACCAAGACATGTTAACAAAAATTTACATAATTTAAGACTTTTATTTAAACAGTCAATACTGGCTTAAATGGCACCCTTCACAAATTTATGCAGCATTGCAATGATAAATTTCCATTTGAAGCTTCACCCTGCAAGATCCTACATTATTTACACAGGTTGGGGCAGATTTTATAGGATTGAGAAAAGTACTGTAGATCCAAGCCAGTGTTACTTTAAGTTGGGCACAAAACCCTCCGAAGTCCAATTGTAGCCATTTTTCAAGTGGCAACCCTCAACTTTCTGGGGCATTTATGATCATTTTTCAACCGTAGTTTTTAGCCATTCTGCTTTCATATGAAAGCTCAAAGACCAAGGGGGAGTTGATCCTGGTAACGATTTACACAATCTCACCATTTTGGGGGCCAAACAATCTCCTTTTTCAAAAGATACTGTGGGGGCACTTTTGATACTAATGAGCTGGCCAGAAATTCTCACTTGAATTAGTGGTATGCACCCATCAGTCCCGATCTCAACTATAGTTGGGACCGTCCTAATCAGTCCCAACTATAGTTGGGACCGTCCTAATCAGTCCCGACTATAGTTGGGACCGTCCTAATCAGTCCCAACTATAGTTGGGACCATCCCAACTACAGCTGGTCCCGTCCTAGTCTTGGCCCAAGACGTCAGTGATCAATAGTTGTTTTATTTCTGTTAAAGAGCGCCCTCGCACAACTAGTTTAGGTGCGAGCTGGCGCACAGTCTAATTATGTGTCGTTGGGGACTCACTATGCACGGTGTCCGCTATCAAGCATTATGGTCTTGAAACCAAGACTAGTCCCGTCCCAGTTCGATCGCTATTGTTGGGCGGGCCGGCCCAACTACGTGACAGCACAGAGGTCCGGTGTGCATGTGCCCAGCACGAGTCAAATTCATATTGTTTACATTGTCATATCACAGGTGAAGTGCCGTATTTTAGAAGAATTATGTCAAGAGTGAGATGCATAAACTCGGATAAGGTTGAGAAATTTTCTACAGGAATTGGTCAACAATAGTTTGGGTTGCACTACACAAAGTACGCGCCCATATAGAAAACAGTGCAAAATCGGACCGAAATAGCGCCGCCTGTTCACTTTCGTGAAGAGATTGGCCTCCCTTTTCTTCGCTGGAAATTCAAGATTATGGCCAGAAGATCATTTTTCGTTTCAATTTTATGGGTGTTAGCCCCGAAAAAAAGTTACTCGCCTTTTTCCGCAGATACCCCCAAAATAGTAGAAAAACTACGCACTCAGCTCTAAATGTAGCCGCCCGCCTCTATCCAAAATAGGCCTGCTATTTGTGAAAGAAATACCCCGAACCCGAGACTATCAGTCCCAAATTCGGGATTTATAGAAATATTTCTATGATCCCTCCTGATTACCCGGTCTTATTGTAAAAACCCCGTGGGATCACAAAATAATGGTTCGCGCGCAGAAATACGACCATTTGGAGGAATGCACCCATGGGCCAGCCCAACTACAGCACTACTATTGGGACTGTCCCAACTACAGTTGGGACAGACGCTATAGTTGGGTGTAGCAAATGTTACGTTGCTTCCTTATTGGCCGGAGTTATTTGGTGGGGGGGGTCCGTTTGCCTTCTAAGGCTCCGTCCTCAGTAGTGTTACTTGTTTTGATGTTCTATCCTCCTTTGCTTTTGCAACGTCTTAAAAAGTACTCAGAAAACTTCTAAAATAAAGGGACTGTCTTGATAGGGAAGGTTGCTGTTTTGTACACAATTTTATTCTGCAGTACAGAAAGTTTTCATCACCCATCTTTAACATACAGTGTTCATAGTACATGTAATTGAAGGAACAGGACAGCGTCTTTATAGATAGCCACAAGAATGCTTGAAAATTATTATCTACAACTTTTATTAGGTCTCAATATGCAAAAAATCCAAACTCACAAATGTATGCATGTACATGTTTTGAAATATAAATTTATTTCCAGAAGAATCAGAGTTTCCTGGATATTTCCCAAAATTGCACAGGCTGAAAAGCCAGCTTTGCAAAGCCTCAACACAGTGCATACCAAAATTACCATTCCTTTCCCTTCTCATTTCACTGGGAAATTCTGAGTGCAGTTAACAACTATGAAGTATTGTGACTGTGTCACGCTGGCCACATTTCAATTTCACAGTCAACCATCTCAAATTTAAACACCTACTTTGCACACAGAAGTCTCATGGGTAATGAAAAAGGTATTCACAGAAAAAGATTCCCATTGAAACTAGTACACTTCCCCAAGTAAAAACTGGCACGACTTCTACTTAGTTAAAGCAAGGATTTGGGCTTCTGTTTTCCATAATCTATGAATCAAATGGCATTCATTTAATTTTACAAATCTAATGTCTGCAAAAAGCAAACAAAATTGGGTATTTCCCTATGTACACATCTCCCAAAATGTCTCATACACACTGCTGTTAATTCCAACCATGGAGGAAGGACTTCCTCAATGCTCCAATACAGGCCTTTCAAGGACAGTAAACCACAGTTATGCAGATCTTTCCACAAACTGCAATTCATGAGCTTGGTCCATTTCTATGGAGCTTCTTGGCAGAAAATACTGTTAAGCATACATGCATACATGTACATGTATGCACAAAAAAGCACAGTCCGCTGCGAACCAGTTGCACTCAATGTAAAACACAAGGTGTGAATAGTTTTGGCTGGTAAACTCCCTTTCCTAAATGATTGCTTTTTCCTGAAGTTGGTAAATTGGAATTTCCACACAAGCTGGAGTTTTGATGCAGTTTGGTTGCCATGGCAGCATCAGCTCATCTCCTCCTCTTCTTGCTTTGCCTCCTCTGCTGCCTTCTTAGCTTTCTCCTCAGCCTTAGCCTGGGCTCTTCTTGCTAGCACAGTGCTCATTGGGTGAAGAGGCAGGAAACCAGACAAACCTAAAAAGTAACAAAATTTTTAAAAAGACGTTACACATGATGGTCCAACTGTCACTGACTAATTTTTGACTGAATGTGCACAAATTAATGATGAGTATAGGTGCAGCTAGGGGGGCACGTGGCAAAGTGGTTAGGGTCTGTGGCTTCCAGTCATAGGGTTGGAGGTTTGAATCCAGCTGTTAGCAGTATGTGTGGCCCTTCGAATAGTCACTTCACCCCTCCTTGCATCTCTCCACCCAGGAGCATAAACGGGTACCAGCATTAGCTAGGGAAGCCACCCGCAGTGGACTGGCATACCATCCAGGGGGAATAGAAATATTCTCAGTCATTTCATGCCAAGGAAACTGGAGATAAACACCAGCCTGATGAGCCAAATTGGCTTGGACCAGACTTGCATAGGTGCAGGCTAATGTACACATACCAAGTAGCATAGCAACTGGTCTAGTTGGTGTAGCCCCCTTGGCCAACCAGTACTTGACCCTCTCAAAGTTGAAGCTGACAAGTTTCTCATTGTGATTGTTAGGCATGGGGTCATAGGTGCCCAGCTGTTCCAGGTAAGCCCCACTATTACGGCTTCGTCGGTTGTGGATTGCCACCACGTGGTAAAAGGGTCGATTTGTGCAACCATGCCGGGCAAGGCGGATCATCACCCTCAGTTTTGCTGGCATACTGACGGCACTTTTATTTCACTTACATGTAGCACTGCCGGTGTGATTCTGAAAGAAAACGTGACATTAAAAATCTGAATGCTGCATGACAACCAGATGACTCATGGCTTTGTCACCTTGCTCTGGGTATCTGGGTAGGAAGGAAAACAAAATCACATAACGATTTACTGACATCTTTCACAATGAAAACACCATGACTTGCATGACCACCCCGACCCCCGCGCCCGAAACCTCCACAAATTTAATTTTAACCATGTTGACTGAGTGCTGATGATCTTGTGTGTTGTCAAGTTCATTCAGTCGTCAGCTGATCGTTCCTCGTTTTGACTTCCACAAAAGTGTAACAAACTACGAAAATGTCAAATAGAAATACCTAACCCGTAAATGTCACAGGCAAAAGGTCTTTTTTACACGTTTGATTTCACGGCAAAACGCTGCTCACCGCTGCAAACTTTTGGAGTCACCAGACTACAAATTACTTAAAATTAGCTCACTATGTGTAGTCTGGTACCTAGACTTTCGAATGTAGTAGAAGGCTAGGCCGTTTTCCAATTCTCAACTCCGGCTGCGTCTCAGGCTTCAACTGTTTTTTAACTAGCTGACGTTGAAGCTATAAGCGCAGTAATTAGTTTAATAGTGCCACAAAACATCAAATGAGATGCAAGACAGCCAGAAATTACAATAATCTAATTTATTTTAAACGCTTCAGGCCCAAAATCGGGGATTGGTTTTCGGAACGAGGCCTGAACGGACCCAAGTCGAGTATTGGAAAAGGGCCTAATCTTCGAGTTATCTGGCACCCAGACTCGTGACGATAAGGCCGTATTTCACAGAAATGAGTGCCGACTATGCTGACCGTGCGTGAGCAAACACTCATCATAACGCTCATTATATTTCATCACATCACCGTCAGAATTCCGAATTAAGTTGACGTGTAACTGTAACTAAATGTAAGTCACTGCACCACTGCATTTTATTCTGTTGCCTCGTGGTTTCATCTGTTCTGTCTCGTACTCCAAGGAGATTACTCCAGATAAATTTGAAGTCGCAGCTGCTGGAAAGAAAAACCAAACAATTCACAAACAATGGTTTGCCTACCATGCATCGTCATTCCGCTTTTCTTGTGGGTGTTCCACCGTTTCTTGCAACCGTATCTACTGCCGCTGATGCCTGCTAAGATTCAGAACTGGTTCACCGGTAAAGCAAAAAAGATGGAACATTTTGGAGGACCACCACCGGAGGAAAACTCATCTGAGAAAAAGGTGTGTATAAATGCGATTGAATTATCAAATCAATGTAACTTGTTAGGCCTATGTCAATCTGTAAACTGGATGAAACAACATACAGCTGTATAATATACCATATTATATAATACGAAAGCAGATCCTTGTCATTTGATTGGAGAATTGTAGGTCCCGTGATTTTTTATAAATAGACTATTTCATGGCCGACGTCATGAACGTTGAAATTTGTTATATACACTGTGCATTTTTGATTATAGGGGCTATGCCGTTTGATTTATTGCACGCAAAGGACTTCAATACGTAATTGGTCGACGTAATTTGCGCATGTTATGTCCATGATCACTAAAATGGCAGCAGGTTCAAGCAATTTCATGTTGCTGAATGACGAGGAAATTGCCGAATTACTTGACGGAGCGGACACAAAGAATACGAAGAAACAAATTCAGTATGCTGTACGTGAACTAGAATCTTGCTGAATGACGAAGCAGAACACAGAAGGTAAGTTCCTTATTTATATTCATATCCTCCAGTCAAGTGACAAAGATCTACTTAGGTGTTATATATTTAGATGTTATTAATGTTCCATTCAGCGAGCCGCAGGCGAGTTGAATGGAACATTAAGGTTTGTGCACCATGTGCACAAGGGCATCACATATTGTCCGTATGTGGAACTCTTTCCTTTTTTCCCCCTTTTGCCAACAATTTACAATTATCAATTTGATAATTTTTGTTCATTTTTAATTATACTGTGTTCCATGTTTTCAGATAAGGAAATGTCTGAATGTGTGAAACTGAAGTCACAGAAATGAACATTTATACTGGACTCCAGATTAACAGCTAGTAAATTTCCTGTTGAGCTCAAATTAATATGATGTTTTGAAAAATCTACATGAAATAGGCTATTTTTATAAGATAGATGTATCCTTATAGTACTTGCTTTTTTCCTCTCTATCAGAGGTATTTGGTTCATGTCAATGGGGCATCAAGTTGCCATCAACGAATAATGTTGAAATTACTACCAGCATCAATTTACGGTCTTAATTACAATTTGTATAGCTAACCTGTGGAAGCACAGCCTATACAAAAACCTTTGGTTTTATTGCAATACCTATTGCAGTTTGGAAAAATCAATTACAGGAATTGTAATTCCTACCAGCAATATTTGTATTGACATTTTCAGGTAATTTGTTCAAAGAATTGAATGAATGCATAGTGTATTATAAAAAAAAGAGAAAAAAGGAAACACACCCAAAACATGAGTGTTATTTTGTTTCTTTGAAATTCTCTCTAGAAAACATGCAACACAGCAACTTCCAATGGTACCACCACAGAGATCAAGACAGGAGAGGACAAGAAAAGTGATTGATGAGAATACGGTGCTTGAAGCTGGTATGATGGAGAAAGATGTGAGTTTTAAGAGGCATCAAAGGCTGACATGTCAACTAAATCATCTACAACTTTGGCACTCGGAGAAAGAAGTCTCTGTATTCTAAGCAAATTTTGTACCTTTGGGCATATGTACATGTACCGGTACTTATGCAGGAACAGAACAGAAATATTTATCATTTTTAGTTAACTACATTTTTGTTGTGTAAATGTATCCTTCATCAACTTGTCCTAAATATACCAAAATCCAACATCTAGATTTGTGGGAGTTTGATGGATCCAGGAATCTGCAGATCCGTATCCATTGCAGTAAAGAGATCTAGGTGTATCAACTATAAGTGCAGCAAATGTGCATGTTGGCTTACCAGTGTGTTGGATGCTGCAGGATTTGGGAAGCTTGAAGTTGATGAGGGATAATAAATGTGCAATACCTCTAAAGAACGCTGTTAGAGTGTCGTTATGTGGTCAGAAATGAGTTTGATCACTTGACAACCAGCATAAACGCATGTGTTTGACTGCTTTCAACTGATGGTGCATTACTTGATTAGTGAACACAAGTACATGTATAACAAGAACGCTGGTATTACATCCCATATACGGCATCTGTCCCAACTGCAGTTAGGATGGTCCCCACCATAGTGCTTCAGTTGGGCAGGCCCAACTGTAATGGGTAACCCTCTATAGAAAGTTTTTCAAGCTTCTTCAAACTTATACAGCTCACACCTGACAAACTTTATGCAAATATATGTGAACCTTGCATATCTTCCACGACACTCACTGGCACTCTGTGCATTACTTCAGCTGGTCTTACTGTAGCACTGGAGTCGGGACAAGTGCTGCAGTTGGGATGTAAATGCACCTTCATGTATTTCCATTTAAGCAAAGTAGCCTTTGTAGACCTTCACGCAGACAACAACCACAACTTTCTTAAGGAGGTGTAGAAGTAGTGATATTGTAGAGGGACTAGGAAAGGGTTGGCAAAGACAGGAAAAAATGTGAGGATGTGGAAATTTGTACTTCCTTTGGAATACCCACTGGATTTTAGGATAATCATGCAAACCAAAATTGAAAGCAAAATACGGAATTGAGAAATGCCTACTTTTCCAGTGTGAAACTGAGTAGTTTTTGATCTTGAATTCAATATGTTTCCAGTTTGAACTTATTTAATCTTCATGTAAAGATATTTCAGTTGTGTTATTGGTATACATTAGAAATCTATATATTAAGGAATATCTTCATCAATCCTTAACCTACTTTGTAACAATTTTAGTGTTTACTTTAAACTTTATTTCCTGCGTATGTATTTGTGGAAGTAGTTTAAACTTCACGGCAGTGTTCTGACAGCTGGTGTTTTTTTTCATAAATTAACCCAACAGAGCACATTCCACTGGTAGCATGCAGCTCAGTTGATGCTGAAATATCGTTAATCCACAAAGAAATTTCAAGTGAGCCCTGATCTGTTAGCAAGAAACCTGGATATTTTGTAACTGGAGAAAAGGGTTTAGACACTTCAAGTACATGTACATGGTGCATTGATTATCTAGTTGATCATTTCAGTATTTTTCAGGTTCCAAATTTGCTCAGAATGATTTTTGCAATCTATTGAAGTGAGTGAATTGCACATGAAATATTTTAAATGTACATGTATTTATTCTAGAGATGTGTATTAAATGCCGTACAGGAAGTGATATTCCTAAAGTCAGTTTCACCCCTGAATTGTTTTTCTATACATACATGTAGATAGAAACTGGTTTAGGTTGTAAGCAAGTAGCCATGCGGATATTCCCTCCTGCTTGAGACCTCAGTCGTGACAGGCGTTAAGTTTTTAGTTCTATTTTTTCAGTGTGTGGCTGTTTACTTTTGCTTATGAGTGACTTTCAGTTTTACATCTTAACATGAGCCGTTGAAGGGTAGAGTACTTGCACTCCAGGATAAGTGCAGTTAATGTAAATGAACAAAAACTGCCAACAAACAAAAGTGGCAAAACACCATGACAGATAGACCTCCATTGCAGAATATACCAGGACACAGAGAGTTGTTACTAGGCCTGTTTTTGACACACTTTCCTTCATTTCTTTACATGCCATCCACTGGCAGCACGTACGAGTGTACATTTTCCAGTTTTCCACTCAGCTCAGCGAGGCTCAGCAAATGTCATTTCATCAATCCCCAACCTTTTGACCAAGATTTTACCCCACAGTGGGGCAGTTTTGCCCTTGACCCTAATGGACATGCCACATCCCCTCAGCATATTAACAGCACAATGTGTATGTGGTAATATCAACAGTCAAGGGTGGATTGGGCACCAACAGGGACCATGGTACCACCCCCCAAAAAGCCAGTTGTTCTAATGAGAAAAGACCATTTGGGGGGCCTGTAAAAACCCCAAATGTAGACCTCCTGAGGAAGGCCGTAAATGGTTACATGTACCTTTTTTGGCCTGCCCCAAACAAGTTTGGCCCCAAAAATTTGGATTCATATCTGTCCGTATCAACATACCTACATGTAATAGCTTTTAATTCGGGTTTCGCCCTTACATGTAGGTGATAAGTGTTTCAACTTTGCAAGAAAAATATCACAAGCTTGCTCAGAAAGGACTCGAACCCAGGACCTCCTACCTACTGGTAACACCTCTTAACCACCCATCCATCGCTCATCAGGCTTGCCAAAGTCAAGCAGCTTCCAGTCCAAACTGCTGTTGGTAATGTGAATGGAATTGTACACTAGGGATATCGATGTGTTTCGTTTCTTATTTTATTTTCCTGTTTACTGCAGGCTACATTGAACAGTTTTGTAGGACTTGAAAGATGAAGGGAAGAAATTCTGGATGAATCATTCTCTTATGATTTTCTCGATTACTTTATATTCCTGAAGTTTTTACCAATTACATATTAATATGCATACTTAAAAAGAATATACAGCACATTAAATAATCACATCACTTAATGAGTTTGTTAAAAAAAAAGACAACACTAAACGTCCGTCATTTTAAAAATATAAGGTACAACTGATACTGATTGACCTTTTTCTGCAATTTTAATTGAAATAAAATTATCGCCAAGCACATATATCATTGAAAAAAAAATTTAATATTTTCCCTGACATGCCTGAAATTTTCAAACCTCTCGTTTTCCAAACTACATGTAGAATGCTACATTTTTTAAATTCCTGCTCATGTGATTCAAGTAAATTTGCAAGCAATATGCATATTGGTACCCATGTAACCATGCACATGGTACCGTATATGCACACTGCACAAAATGCCAATCTGCAAACCCAGACAATGTTCACTAGCTGTCGACCTTTACCTTATGACCTGTTACCATCATTGTATTCATTGTTTATCTTCTGCAAACATTGCCAAGGTTCTAAAGTTATATTGAAGGATTATATTACCCTGACTACTGAAGGACTATCTACATACATTTAACATTATTAAACTAAACTATGTAACATAAAGTATGGTTATATCATGAAATAGTCTAATTTTTTGGTCATTTTCTATTTCCATTTGACAAGGATTAGACTTAAAAATCAAACTACAAATAAACTAAGCAACAGTCCACACACATGTCTGGAGGTTTACAAATTGGCAATACACAGAATTATAAACTCCTAGAGAGGTTGTACATGTACATATGATGTCCAGCCATTGTTCAGGTCGGTGGTTTTGTTATGGCGGGATATACCACAAAAGGTTCACTCTTCGGAACAAATACAGGGACTTGACAGCTGGTGCCCTGCACAGCCTTTGAGTAAATGTCAGGGCCTAAACTTTGCACATTACCCGCAACTATTCAGGCACTAGGTGACAAGCAAAGGCCTGACCAGCAAGGTAGCAGTTTAGATTTTAGGAATTCCCTGCTTTTTTCTTTATTCAAACGAGTTAGCTTCACGTATTCACTCTGGTAATAATGTAAGTAAATGAACTATTGTCCGAGACAAATCTGTGACAAGACATTTGAAAACAAATTTATGTTATTAATGTTATTCATAATTTATAATAATTCATGGTTGATACTGGCTGATTCAACTGGGGGTTGATTAAGATCTCATTAATAACTACTGTAAAATCAGGACAAGTATAAAAACCAGCAAAGGTGTGCAAACATTCATGCAGTGTGCAAACCTGGTAGTCACAAAACGTTTTATGAGTCATCTCCGAAAGTCACATGGTTACATTACACAAACAACCATGTCGCTGGGGATGGTTTCATTGGCACCATCTGGCCAAGGCATAGAAAAATCTTGTTTTCCAAACACAATGCCCTTAAAAATAAATGTCCAATTTTGGGGGGATGGCGAATAAGTTCAAATTTTCACTTCCAAACTCCCAATTTAGCATCCAACTGTAAACTTGAAATTAAAATGTTCTGCATAAATTCAGAGCTTTGAGTCCTGGGATTAAAAAAAGTTGTTCTTATCTTATCAACAAAAACACCTCAGAGACGGAAAATATGTATTAAAGGGCAAATTGAGAACAAAAATGCTATGGTAAAGGACAGTCAACATGGGGTTAGGACCCCCCCTTTTTGTAACTGCTCGATATACTGACGTTTTTATTTTTGTGCGGTAACAGTGGTTGCCTACTCCATGACTCCATAAAAGAAATACATGAACCACCTTGGAGGCAATGACACATGCAAACCCTAACTATCCCAAATCCTGCAGGCGGTTTCGAAGGATTTTGGAGGATTGAGGCTGCATGGCAGAATTGCATTGCTGATTGCGATGGGCACACTGTCTCAAGGTTCTGGGTTAGACCTTGTGTTGTTTATATTCACCCATGTAGAAATTCATGCCCACATTATATGTGAAATCTTCCATACTGCTCCAGGATACCATTCACACTGCCTCAACTTAATGAGAGGAATTGCCAAAGGATTTTGAAGGATTGAGTTAGTGGGCACCCCTTCAAAGAACATATTCAAGAAATATTGTGGGATTTTGGAGGACTGAGGCTGTATCTCATCTTTAATGGGGGCAGTTGGAGGATTTTGAAGGACTGAGGGTGTATCCTCTCAAAAGGGCCTTGGCGGTTAGGGTTAATCAGTATAAATGTGTATGTACAAGTACATATATACCTGTACATGTACATGTACATGTACAATCGATCAAATTTGAACAGACAGTTTGTGTTAGTGTTAATTAACAGATCATTGACATTATTCCCAACCTGAGAACTTGCACATGGAAACACATCAAAACAAAATTAAACTCAGTCACCTTTTTCTGTTTTCTTCTCAGCTGCCAAATTTGTGATCTCAATTCAAATTCAGCACAGTTTTAGTCTCAATCTGCAGAACTGAAGACTTAAAGTATCAAACAAATTTTTGGAATAAACCTGTAGAAACAATTTGGAAAATCTGGTTTTTTTTATTATGGAGGTGGTGGCTTAGTAATGGTCGGATCAAGAAATAGTGTACTCACTATTAACCCAAAACCAATGACTGCACTGAGAACTTTCAGAAGCCTATCACCGGGTTGACTCATCTCCATAGGAAGCACCTCAAAGAATGTAATATACAAGAAAGTTCCTGTGGCTAAACCTTGCAAAATACCGCTTGTGATGTTATGGGCTGTGCTGCTGTATCCCTGATTAACTAAAATGCCAACGACAATGCCGATGGGTGCCATGATGGCAAAACAGACACTGGACTGGATTAGAGTGCGTGGCTTCAGGTTACTCTGCACAAAGTTGATGCCCAGACTGAGCGCCAGGATGGTCTTGTGGATGAGGACGGCGACGAAGATGGCAAGCAACTGGTTGAGGTCACTCTGGAGGCCTAGCGCCAGTCCTTCAAAGAGGGAATGTAAGGACAAGGCCAGTAGGAGCAGCAGGGAGCGCAGCGAGGAGCTGGTTACCATATCATGGGTGTCAGTGTGTTGGATCAACGGTCTGTCATCAGTCCCAACAATCGGTGTACCGTGACTGTGGCCGAAACTCATGCTTTGACCCAATTTCTCATTATTGATACTTCCTTCTTCATCACTGGTACTGTTGTGAGATGCGCCTCCTTTATTAGTGCTGTGGTGGATCAAGAGAGGAGTAGTCTCACTTTCCTCATATTTCAGCCGATGTACCTTGTCATTTGCTTTCTGATAATCCTCTTTCTGGTCACTGTCCACTTTCTGGTCACTGTCCACTTTCTGGTCACTGTCCACTTTCTTGTCCCTTTCCTCAGTGCGTTCCCTTTGTCCTCTACTCGCTCTTTCCTTGATGTCATATGCAATCTGCTCGACACTAAGGATCAGAAACAACCCCAGAGCCGCAACAAACTTGGCAACTGGGAAATTTGTCCGCATTCCAAGCTCTGTGAGCACAGCTTCAAATTCGCGCTCCACGTCGGGCAGCAGATCCAACAGACAAGTCGCGAGGAAAACACCTCCACCAAAACAGTTTAGAAATCGCAGCACTCGTTCGATGAAGTTTCTGCGGATTTCATTCCCACTACGCTTGATGGCAATGTTGACAAACTTCAAAGGTAGCAAGCTCGCAATGAGGCATGACACAAACAAGGAGCACAGTATAGTAATCTTCAAGGTAATGATTTCCATATTGATCTCACAAAGTTTCTGCAGCTTAAGTTCAGTGTCGCTTCAACTGTTCAAGCACACAAGTTCCACATTATTCAGTTTTTTAGAAACTCATGGCTGCCATGCATTTTTTCTAGATTATAGGTGTCACTAAAAACATGCAAAACAAAGTTAGAAAAGCTTTGACTGGGAGTGAGTGAGAGAGAGCTGATCTTTGAATTTCCGAGAGGGTGAACTGTAATTTAACTAGTCAAGCAATCCTACAATGTCACGCATGTCCTAGCACCTGTTCAGCAATCATCGGCGCAGCCGGAAAACTATTGATTGTTTGAGCCTTGTTTGAGCGAAGTGTACTGTTTTGTTTAAGGTATCACCGCTGGATGACATCAGATCAGATCACCGATCGTGCATTCTCCTGAGCTAAAACTTTGACCTTTCGATGACACTGGGTGTTGGAAACTACCAGCACCGACCGTACCCGCAGCAGGCAAACTACATCGAACTCCACTTTTGTCTAATTACTCAGCACCGTATACCGTGTCAATGCAAGTACATAGACTGGTTCCCGCCGATTGAAATCACTTGCGATTGAATTCCGAAAGGGCCACGGAACCAGTCTAAAAGATTATCGTTTTCCAAAACTCGGCTTTGTTCCGAAAATGCACCGTCATAGCTCTATGGCCGTCGCTAATATCGAAACCGCTGAAAGAGTACAATCTTCGAATGAAATTGAAAGCAATATTTCGGTATTTGATCTTGAATTGATAGCGACTATTTGATGCTTTGATGGTAAAATGTGAATCATTCCGAATTTATGACCGCGGCTTGAAATTGCATACGAAAGGCGAAGTTTTTACTCGTTTAAGGGAGCTGGCGCCCTCTTTTGCCACGGAGGCTTTGAAATCACTTTTATTGAAAAAAAAACAAAGTCCCAGAATCTATTGATTCTTTTGTATTTCCTCTGTGGACAAAACGAAACAGTTATTTTCAAACACAGTCTTAGATAAAATCTTAACTTTTTTCAGCAGCAGCAATCCTGTATTTCTTCAAAGTGTGACTTTATTACTGAAGTTGTAACCGTCTTTGTTTTTGACTAAAACTTCACTGGTTTGGCATCTTTTAGACTTATAAGTTATGTCCATACTTCCCACCAGATGACAAAACTGACGTATTCCGATCCCTCCCCAACCCCAAGCAATATTCAATTGTTCCCTACGCTCAGTTGTATGAAAACGTACAGCCAAAAATTAAATAAAATTTATTGATATTAAAATTTATTAATAATTTAAAGCCGCAGCCAAGTGATTCGGACACGGCCTACTACCCATCAGCAAATATCGTATAGCGCCGCGTAGCGGCTGCGTCGCTACACAATCTTTGCCTGTCAGACCATCATTGGTCAGTTGGGGGCTGTAGGCCTAGGATACAAGCAGATTAACAAACTGCACCAGAGCAAATTTACAGAGGGCGTGCTATGTCAACCACAATCGTTAAGTACTATGCAGACGACCAATGGACTTTAGACATTGCGATAAGTGTACCTGACTCTTAACTGTTGGTCACCTGACGGCACAGTAGAAATTGTAAATGCTAAAATATATGGAGCAGTTGTTCGAGGTTCTATGTGTATCTTGCCAACAGCTGGCGTACATGTACACCTCCACATACGCTACACCATGCTTATACATGTACATAAGTGGATATTCCCCGTGTACCGAAAACATCCATTGCACAGGGGCTACTCGGGGTAAGCGTGGTAAGTAGTACCATGGGGGAATTCCTCCATGGTAGTACTAGAAGACATAAAAAAACATGATATGGATGTGTGTCATGAGAGAATATGCAGTAACTGTCTGGTGTAAGAAAATTGGTGTATAAAAATGATTATGCGAAAAGTGAAAACCAAAGTTTGAAAAGGACAATGCGTGTTTGACAATCATGTTCGCCACCCGTTCGGAGCCATGATCTACAGGTTATGTGGGCTTCCTCCTTGCTGGATAATAGTTCTTTGGTCCCCTGCAATCCTCATGCATATGTTCACGGTTGAACACACCAAATCGTTCAGCGTAAGCATTCTTTTCCTGGTGCCGACCCTTTGGATATCGTCAAATACACCCCTTGTGTCAATGCCGATTTAGAGACAGATAACCCACTAGTGCCTGGTACGGATGCCCCTGATGGACTCTGGACATTTTAAACTCATTGCCAAACCAGAACTTATATCAGACAATAACAGCCAGTTTATAAGTGCCGACCTGTAAGGGCAGGTGCTGGTATTTACATAATGCAGGAAGGCATTACCGCACTAGTCAGTATTGGGAATTCAGCGAGCTAAAACACAATCAGTGGAAGTTAACACTGCAAATGTTTGATCTGGTTGTAAAACGAAAAAGTGTTGCTGAGCTGAGCAAATAATCTGTCAAATTTGGATTGTTAATGTTTGCCTCTTCCAAGGGGGCAACATTGTAACTCTGCGTTTCTTCCTCTTCGACAGCTTTCACAGATCTATCAGGCTTGTTGTAATTTGTCCACGCACGTGATTCCAATCAGTTACCATGGAAATCCAGGCCTTGAAGATAGTCGTTTTGAGCACTTTGTTTGTTTCATGCTTTGGAGCCTGTCTTGTGCCGCTTGGGTTTGCCATCTGTGCCAGAAACCGACAGAGAGGACATGAACGACTGGTTCCGGCAATTCAACGATTGGTGTGCCTTTTCAACAGCTTCGGTGGAGGGGTTTTCCTAGCAACTTGCCTGCTAGACTTGCTGCCGGACGTTCAGGAAGAATTCGAAGATGTCCGTCACTTTCTTGACATCCACTCTAACTTCCCGTTTGCGGAGTTCATAACAGCGGTCGGATTCTTCTTGGTTCTTGTCCTCGAGCAGGCTGTTCTTAACTTCCAAGAGAAATCAGCAATTGATGCGAAGGTCACAGACGAAAGTGGGCCTCCACAAGAAGACGGCCGGGCTGAGAAGTACGCATCTTTAGATGACACAGAGGAAACTTCCCTCTTAGCATATCAGAACTCCAGAAGTGATGCTGGAAATTCATCATCATCTGTGACAAGTAGAAACGAAGTTGTAACTGAGATACCGCGAAGTGAGACCGGAGTTGCCGAAGTGATGGACGGGGCACGTTCAAGGCCAGGCCTTGATAAGACAGTCCTCATCAGATCCGTCTTGCTTCTTCTAGCGCTATCTTTCCATTCCATCTTTGAAGGTCTAGCTATTGGTCTCCAGACTAGCGTGTCACATCTTCTTGGAATCTTCGCAGCTGTAGCAATCCACAAGACTATTCTGTCGCTGAGTCTCGGCAATGCGCTAGTGCAGGAGAATCGGAGCAAGACCTTCGTTTTTCTGTCCAGTTTCGGTTTTGCCGCCATGGCTCCCCTTGGAATTGTTTTTGGAATTCTCCTTTTCAACGAAGAGGAAGGCTTGGTGAAAAGCGCCATCAGTGGTGTCCTACAGGGAATCGCTACCGGGACCTTCTTGTACATCACGTTTTTTGAGGTTCTTGGGAAGGAGATGGGTGCACCGGGTGACAGAATGTTAAAGGTTCTCTGTGCGATACTCGGATTCGGAATAATCACAGGAACAATGTTCTTTAAAGAATGATTGGATGCACTGTGCATTGTATATGGATTGGATTCCACCATCATGATCCACAATATTCCCGATGTGATTATTATTATGGTAATTTTTATGGTATGGCTCTGAAAATAAATAGAGACATGGTAGGAAATGTTCCTTGAGTGCGGTGAGAAATTTATTCTTTGTGGAAGACGTGTACCACATTTGTTCAGAATCAATTTCTTTTTAGATGAAAAATTAGCTTTCATATTTCCTATTTTTTTACTCTAGTAAGAGGCTCATGAATTAATTTAGTGTCGTCACCATCACACGGTCCCTGATAAGAGGAAGGAGTCTTACTTTGTGTCGAGTAATTTAGTCATGGTTCAGTTTGCAAAACATGCTCAAGTAACAGCTGTTGTTTTCATTAATTGAAGATGACAAGAGTGGTCTAATGCATCTCTTCACGTCTCTTTAGATTAATTGATGTCAGAATATAATTGTAAAAGAGAGAACTAGTACCAGAGAAACAGAACACCGTTCGTTTCCCAGTTTATATGGAATGGATATCTCCCTGCTGAGAAGGTTGGCTCCAGAACTGAACTTTTTGGAAGGACCAAACTTGTTGGTTCGTATTTGGTTTCAAAAATCTTGGAATTTTTTTTCATATAACCTTTAACGGCCTTTCTAAGGGGCAAGGCTACAATTTGGAGCTTTAAAGAGGCTTTAGGAAAGAGGAGAAATGACATAGGTCCAAATATCCTCTTTCTCTTAGTACCTCTCATTACATTTTTGCTCCTGTTTGAAGGCCTGCACCCCGTTGCCCGTCCCCCATCCGTCCTTGCCTGCTAACTAACTACGTAAAATATGTGTTAGAACAAGACCGTACTGTACTCTGCACTCAACCGGAATTTGCTCTAAAAATAGTTTTCGTCATGCGCTGAGGGCAAAGAATTTTATACATGTTAGGGATGACATTAATAATCAGTGCATGGTTCAAGTGCTAAAGAGAACCGTCAGTCTTTGTTGACTTATCACATACCCACTGATATACCCATTGATTTGCAAAAATAAAAAAAAAAATTGCGAAGTGGAAGTAGGACCTACAGAAGACATTGATCAGTTCTTCGGACGATGCATGACTGATTGGGAGCCTTGTGGAGCCATTCATTTCACTAAACACGGGGCTCTATTCTGTGATAAAGGATACGACTTTTTATAGTATAGCTATTCACTATGTCTCTGGTTCTTAACTAAATTGAAATCGGAAATTTTTTTGAATTTAAGTGACCTTTTTTTTTCTACTGTACTATGCGCTTCAACGATGTATAATGATAAAAGAAAGAAGCAGCTGTCCAGGACTTTAATCAGTTGAATAAGAAATTATATTATGTTTCGTAATACGCTTGGTACACGTGTGATGCTTATAATCTACGTCTTATTGTAACCTAAAACAAACACGAGTAATTACAGCTAGCAACGATCGCTGCGTGTACATTTCGCCACGCCACCATTAACGACAGTGTAACAGCTGGTTGTCTCATGGTTGGTCGCTATGTTTGTTTGGTTGGTTATAAAACGTCCGCCTTAGGTGTTAGGATAGCAATTCCAAGTGAGGAAGGAGACTCTTCAGTCTGTATTTTATCAGAGTTCTGTATCCTGGAGAGACAGAGAAATCACTTGGATTCTCGGTAAGTTAAGTTTTTGAAAAACTGAATTACAGGTATAAATAGATTTATAACTTTGAAATTGGTCGTAAAAATGAAATCTTAAATTTGCTTCTTGTACATACTTATGATTAGAAAAATGTCGTCATTTTAATTGTAGGAGTTTGAACGTCATTTGAAAATAGTCACCTTGCACTGCCATCAATGTTTGTTTTCAAATTTTCTGTGCAACCGTCTACATCATTGTTAACTATGTTCGTTATTCTTGTTTTTACAAGTTTTTTACAATTTTCTCAAAATCTGTATTACAAATAGATTTAGAATTTTGAAATTGGTCGTAAAATCAAATCTTAAACTTCATTTTTATCCGAGGCCGTTGATTTTATCGTTGGGTGTAGCGGCTGGTAAGGTTCACGTTTGTGGCAAATAATTTAATCTTCAAAATAACCCATTTTTAATCTCAGGGGATGAAGATCTATACCACTGTACTTCTGCTTGCATCTCTGCAATGCATTTTAACAATGACGAGTCAGTGGCAGGCTGCTGGAGCCAAAGCCCTCAGTGGCAAGAGAGCCAAGAAAGTCAAGCCATGGGAAGACCCAGACCGTGACCGTAGCAATGACCTCTTGGTCACAAAGAAAGCCTTCTTCGAGATGGAAATCGACGACGAACCAGTGGGGCGGATCGTCATCTCGCTGTTTGGCGACACGTGTCCCGTGACGGTGCAGAACTTTGCCGCGTTGGTGCGAGGAACATCCAAGAACAGGGTAAGATTTGGGCGTGTGTGAGGAGGGGAAGAGCAGTTTGGGCTCTGTTTACATTTGATGTGATAAATACAAAGCTCGCAGGTGGGACAGGCACACAGGATGGCAACATCCCGTTTGCTTGATGGAGAATGAAAAGTGGTGAGAGTGTGGAAGAGAGTTCCAATCAAACTGCAGTGTTGAACATTGAATCATGATTTGCTGTGGTCCAGTTGCCCGCTCCTGCGTGTCTACTTTTCTGATGTACGATCTGATTTTTTTTTTCATAAAAATCAGGAGAAGCTATGCTACAATGACACCGTAGTTCATCGCATCGTGTCTGATTTCGTCATTCAGATGGGTGACGTCACAGAGGGTGACGGGACTGGCGGTAAGCGTGACCACTTTCCTGTGTATTTGTTGCCAGACACGAGTTGACAGAAAAGTGTGGACGATCCCTAGCTATACCGGGATATTCAATATAGCTCTGTAACTTCTAGCTCAAAATGTCTATTATCAACCTCATTTTTCCCCCATAGTGTTCAGAATAATGTCCCGTTGTCTCCTTTTCTTTTCACAAAACACCACTCTTGTTATCTTGTGTTCAGGTCTGAGCATTTACGGGAAACATTTCGACGACGAGAATTTTTATCTTCGCCATGCCGGACCAGGTTGGGTTGCCATGGCTAATTCGGGTCCCAATACCAACAACTCACAGTTCTTCGTGTTACTCACTAAGGCAGGTTGGTTAGACGGAAGACACGTGGTGTTTGGAAAGGTCACCGAAGGCATGGTGAGTGAGTCCTTTTCGGACTTTAGAGGACATCTATTGATCTTCACGATCTAATTACGCTAGGCACAAGGTTTCCAGATCGGGTCACAGTGTTATTGAAAAACCAAAGCTGACTTACTGGGACACATACCAAACGTAAGCCGTGTTTCCATTAGACGTTTTCTCCCACGGCCACGCAGAAACTTAACCCGACATTCCTCATATTTTGTGGATAGTGCCATCTACCGTTTAGGCCGTCGGCAGTGAGCATGTTCGTTGATAACATTTTCTCAGTATAAGTTTTATAGTCAAAATGTTTCTACCGTATTATGGAGGTCGAAAATTACAAGCGTAAATTAGCCATTGTTGGGTTTCCTGCATGCAGTCTACTGCAATTCATTTAAGACGTTGCGGTATGACCATGCGATCGTGACTTATACGATGTTTTTGACGCAAAAAGGAGGAGTGCTTGCACTGCATCATGAACCACTTGAAGCTCATTAGTAACACAGTTCTCAATTAATGTTGCAAGTTCAGAACGATTTTTTGTTGTTGCTTCAACAGGACGTCATTGAACGGATAGCGCAGGTTGACACGGACGACGCCGACTTTCCTCTAAAACCCATCAGAGTCATCGACTGCGGCATTATACCGGTGAGGGCGCCCTACATCATCTCCGAAGACGCGGAGTTGAAGTAAAATGGATATATCACTAGTGACGATAGTTTGCTAGAGTGCTTAGAGCTATGATAGGATTTGGAATTTAGGGAATTAGGATGGACGACAGGGAAGAATGGCAAATATACTGTCTCATGTCTGTGCGCACGCAGCCGACAACAGACAGCAGGCAAGTATTGGGAGGAAAATCGCAAATCCTAAATCTAGACAAAGTTGGCAGTGAATATTAACGAAATTAAAAACTGTTGTGATATCAACTGTCTTGCTTAGGCGATCAGGAAAGCAAGCACAAAATGTAAGATTTTCGGTCTTAGAAAGATTACTGTTTGTTTGTCTGGAAATCAATTATTTATGAATGAATTTAGGAAGGAGAATACAATTGGTGCATCTGTAGCTTTCGAGTGATCTTGTTTCTCAACTAAGACTGATCGACGCTAATTCATGACAAAAGTCAAGTTTTTACCGCCTGTGGTTCCATTCTACTTTCCCTTCAGTTTAATACACATGTGTACACATAACAGTAAACTGTAAACTTCAGTGTTGCGTTTCAGAGGTCATACGGTGTCAGAAATCATCGTAAACAGAATATTTTACGGAAGATTATGATTTATTTTAAGAAAAGACCACATTTTGTCTTATCGGCAGAGGCATGTGACATTACCCCATGCGCGTTTCGACCCCGATAAGAGTAGATTCCTGAAGGGAGACCTGGCATTGTTCTGTGGCACTTACATGAGATCACATCATAGCGATATGACTAGATTGAGGGACGATTGAATCAAGGCGTGGCTTTGGAGGGGGACCGTTACCTGTCTGTACTCCAAGCATGCAATTCAGTCAAGAGTGCCTCCTCTTGGTTTTAAAAAGGACGGGCTGAGTTTTAATTCGCACATTGAAAATTAATTTGTCTTCATAGCTTCAGCAATTCAATGTTACGTGATTTTATTTTTAATGCCACGTCGGCTGTCCCAAATCTTTCCCCAAAAGTTTCTTAGTGTCAGAAGGAAAGCTGTCAACATGCGAATCGATACTAACACCACACCCGTGAGTTTGTGTATAAATACTGACACGTTTATATGACACGAATGTTCAGAAGCGTCAGGAGACTTGAAATAAAGCCGAGATCGTTCCATCAGACAGGTGTCGCATGACCCTGCCCATTCTGCCTTGAACCCGACTACTACGCATCCACCTACCACTGTCAGCATTGGTTTACTTTATAATCCAATCAGGGTTGGTGGTGCGTGCGTTTGCCTTGGCCGTGAATGTGCTAACGTGACTTTGGCACCAAGCATGAATTTCATTTAGTAAATTTGTCTTATTAATGCAGGAATGTGATTCCCAAATTGAGTGCAAATAAAAATCATTACTGGTCATAATTACTGATCACTTTGTTCCCATGGACTATTTCTGATAGGTAAGTGTCCGTTGTAAAAAAACCTACAGTCTATAATGTTTGCATACACGTCAGCAAATCAACACGTGCAATTGTCGAATATCGAATAAAAACAATTATAATGTACTGATTGATACTTCCACTTTTAATCTGTGTTCCTAAGGCGTGGCATGGGGGTAGGGTAGTGTCCCACGACAGATAGTGTTTAAAGGTCCAACTAGTTAACAATGTAACGTGTTCGTATTTGAATATTGGAAGTGAAATAGCTGATAAGCACTAAGCCTTTATGACTGGATAACACTTCTTTAAGACGCAAGGTAACAGAAAGGATGGAGTAATTAGTCTGAGGAACAGTGATGAATAGGTTGGAATGATCAATTCGGGGTTTGGAAATTTTGGTGAGTTCGTGTTCCGGTTGGATAACTTGATCGAGTATTCCGTAATAAACCGGTTTCCTTTTTGTCTTTTGGGTAAACACCAGTTTGGGTTGAAAAGTGCCCAAAAGTTTACTGCTGGTTCCCTTGGTTATGATTACCTGTCTTATTTACAAAAATAAACAATTACGCACTGGCTGCTAGAGGCAAGGTCCTACGCTCCACGCTCAATGAAAAAACTTGATATTTCTCTTTCAGGCAACTTTCTGATAATTTAGACTTGGCTCAAATAAACAGAAACGTGTTGAGAGCAGACGATTTTAAATTGTTTGCCTGCATAGTGAAGTTGCTTCACAATGAAGAACATTCAAGAAATGTCTTTGTTTGACGGAATGATACAGCTCGACCTCATGAGTTCGTCTTTTTCGTTGTTACGAAGGAGGGAACAGTGACGCATGGCGTCCCGGTTTATTTTTGTGCCAGCTCTTCAAATCGATTTCACGGAAGCGGGATATTGACAGTTATTTTCTCCAAATGATAATAACAAAATGTTCGGGCCGTAGGCGTGTATGTCGCGGTGCCAACTTCTGGTCCGACATAACCTGGACTTGTGAACAAAATTACGGGACATCTTCTGGCGCGGATTCAACAAAAACCGCACCGTTTGGCAAACTTAGTGTAACCTTCAAAAAGTACGTTACACTCCAGCAAGTTAAAGACCATTGGATGGATTATGTTCGAACCGCATTTGAATTTTCCAGAGTGAATTAATGCAGGTTTTATGAAAGCTGATGTTGAGATAACGAGTAAGGGTAAGTCGAAAGAAGTATCCTAAATCTCAGAATTTTTCAAGTCAGCAGTGAATCCGGAATTGTTTATAGGGAAGAGATAAAGATTAAAAGTGCAGAAGTCGTTTCTGAGTGTTATCAAAGTTCTCTGCAAACTTTGGAATGCCCCCCACATCACTGTAATATCTGCCAGCAAATTATTAATGTACTCTTTCCTATTATGGGAAGTACTATTTCCTGTCACTTGAAATTCAAGTTGGTTTTGGACGTTCCTCATGTCTATGCCTATTAGGCAAGAATTCAGTCATCATGTGACGCCAACATCACATCACCTGACTTGCGAAGACCCGCCTGGATCCCTTAAGTCACCCCCAGCGCGATACCGTGACGTCAAGCGCGCTATTTCTCGCCGCGACGGGTTGTCCCCGCCCAGGTTTGGGACGACAACTTTCATTCATAAATGGACGCGCCCACTGTGCCCAACCAACCAGTAACAGTTTGGCCGTGCCACCAAGCGCTATTACATTATCCAGCTGTGCTGTTTGTTTAGGTCGGGGCACGCTTGTGAAAACAAACCTGGTTCCCACATTCTGACAAGTTTTGTCGTCGGGTCCCGCTGCTTCAACTTGTTTGATGAACTTGTTCATTGATTCAGCAGCGTGCGATCTGAGATGACTTTCTGATGATTACGTCCTTCAGCCCTACGGTCGAACAGCACTACACGTTTTGTACATGTGCACTGTACATGTACTGCACAGTACATTCACGTGCACTCACGCCGACAACTAACTTATTTCCGTGCGGCATTCCTAAGCATTGGTAGTGCCGTCCATGGTCGTTTGTGACCTTTCTCCAGCACAAGAATTACCTACTCGAGAGAACTGGAAATTGTCGCAATGTTTACAGTCTGCTGTTTCATCTTGACGGTCGCGTGCCTTGGTCAGACACTACCGACTAAAGATTCTTTCAAGTTTAATCACCCAGAACAAGGTAGGCAAATAACTTCCCTTCCGCCTCTAGAGCTTGTTATTTTTCTACGTCAATACTTTATAACGTGAACTCATCTTGCTACCGAAAATATCCGATACATGGCAAAATGATATTTGGGGACTGTGAATAAATGATGGAAAAACCCATGTCATTTTGAAGTTTTCACCTGCAAGTTTTGCATGTAAAACAACAGAGGACGTGCGTGGTATTAAGAGATCATCAGAACAACAATGTCATCATGTAATTCTTAAGCCATGTAGATTAAAGATTGGGCATACTCAATAAGATGTTGCCCATTTGCTTATCAGTCCATTTTAAGCTGGCTAAAATAGCTTATCTTTCTATTTATGTATGCATATATTACGTGTGCATATATTACGTGTGCATATATTACGTATGCATATATTATGTATGCATTCATGCAATGAATGTAGTTTTTTGAGCGTACAATCGATATCATGGTTCTCTCTCCTCACCTTACCGATGAAGTAAAAAAATCTATTTGAGAGTCCATTCACTGACAGGCATGATGATGTCTTCCAAATCGTAGCGTGGTTGTTGTGTTTTGAGTCGGCAGTCACTGTGTTTTGCTAGAACCTCCGAATAGCCTGGAGGCTTAGCTGAATAGGGTAGGGCCAAGGCACTCACACCAGCTCAACAAAGTTTGTGGTTTACCATCTCACCTTTTCGTCACTGACCTACAAAGCAAAGTGCGTTCCTGTGTAGAGTCTGAAACGTGGCCCCAGGTCAGCGTGAAAATCCGCTCTCTCGTCGAATTTTATTTTTACTCAACAAACTTGTTCTCCTTGAACTCTTACATTTTCTTTACTTTGTAAATTGGATCCGCGGTTCTCACAAATTAGACAGTATTTGGCATCGAATGACGTAGCGTCATGTGTATAAAAAATGAACAGCACCAGTCTCTTTGTGAATACGATTTTATTAATGACAATGTCCTCGTGAAGGTGTAGAGTTGAACAACGTTGTCTTGAATATGTCAAGATTAAATCCAACGGCAAAGGCCGTAAAGCCCGAAGGGTTACTTGTTCTTGAGTTACTGGCCAACGTGGTATTCGTTGTAATAGCATACGTCTGTGTTTATGAACAAGGCCGTGGTGTAAGTGGCACGTGCGCCTGTTTAAAACCATTTCTCAATTTAGATTTCAACGAAATGTCTTTCACTTGAGTCGAATAAAGAGCAGTGGTAAAGACCTGTCGATAAAAACATGACAAGTACATGTAATACACTGTACCTGTCGCGTGCACTGGCATCCTCTGAAAACAAACATTGCCCCACTTTTTGTCCCGTATTTATTTTTGTCTCTTGCCTAATAAGATAATGTATGACTCCTGTTAGCACTGCAAGAAGTGAGGCAGGGCTGATTTCGCGATAGTTGTCTCGTAATCCCCGAAAAGGAGAACGTGTTTTAAATCGCCATGACCTCGCGGCCCAAAAACAACAGGGGTACGCGGCGTTGGCGTTCCCAATCGCCTTGACTTCGGCGGATCAGAATTCCTTAGCCTGAAAAAAGGAGCAGAATTCTTCACAGTGAAACTGAAGAAAAGAGAGCATGGAGAGTAAAAACGTGACGCAAAAGACAGGGCTATATAATTCAATCAATTCTGGTCTGCTCCGGCGTGAAATCTCGACTTCTGGATAATGTAAGGCAGGTTTCAGTCTCACAATGGTAGAAGCAAATTTATGGCAATTGATATAATACTAAAGAAGTTTTTTACGTGTAGTTTTGGGAACTCGTCCTTAGGCTTACTGCAACCTAGCTTGTGATACGGTTTGGGTTGCTACGCACAAATTTAAAGTACATCTCAACTACAAATCTTTGAATAATTTGGAAACAGTGATATTAAAATTGATCGATGATCAATCAATTGATCGATCAATTGATCAATCATTCAATCTTATTTCATAAACATACCTGCATAACGACAGCACGGCGCCTGTTAAGTGGACTGGGGATAGTGACAAAATAACAATTTGAACGACATTTAAATTAGCATTAGGATAAATTTGCATTTTGCATGGAAAGATACGTGGAATAGCGCCCCCTTTGAGTCATGCATAACGATAATAAAGACCAGGCACAGTAAATTGAAAGCTAGAAGTAATCAATGCTTCCTTGGCAGATGGGAATAACACTGTTACTGAGAAATGAAAACAGACATCACAATGACTTGAGATAAAGGCAGAGGCAAGTTATGACTCGACAAGGAGAGGAATGATAACGAACTTGGCGTGCTCGAGGGATCTTTGACCACTACGACGAAAACAATTCCCCTTTGTTTGCAGATAATGTTTTCCGGGAGAATAATTCAAGTTTTATGTTGTAAGGGGTAATTGATACTCGGTACAATCAGACAGGTCTCTGAGGGGCTGTGCTTTGGGTCTTACGTCTGGCAAGTGAGTCATTGCCTGAAATTGATTACAGTCCTTTTTCATAGTGCCAGTTTCTGGACAGGTAAATTCCTAGCATGCTGTTCGTTTTACTGCGCTCCCAATCTATCCTTGATTAAAGGTGTCGTGGGAAAACTCCGTCCCTGAGGGAAGGGGCCGGTGGAAATTGAGGGAGACTTAGGAGGCGTGCTGGGAGGAAATGACCATCATAGGGATATGTCACTTTGTGATAGAGATACTTGTGAGAGTATTTTACTAATTTTGTTCATGTGCATCTCAGAAGATTTTTTTTAGTCACAAAAATCTAAATCTAAAATTCCTCATTGTGTATTTTATCTCAGAAATGAATATTTCTTTATAAAGTACAGTGCAAAACGGAATTTTTAAAATTGAAGGAATGAGATCATCACATGATAGTTTGATAGTTGAACGTTCAGGATTTGTGCATATTTAACCAAATTAATGTTGTTTGAAACTGCATTCAAAGAATATCCCTCCCCCTTACTCCGCCCCTACCTATAAACACTCTGCAGATCATAGAGACTGTTCTAGCTCTGTCGTTTATTGGCAGCAAATTTGTTAGTACTTGCTGTTCCGTTTTTCAGCTGATTTCATCAAAACCTTGGCTGACTATGAGATCGTCATTCCGTCAGTCGTGGACAGCGACGGAGTTTTCATCTCCCACGACCTGACCAGAGACCGAGTTGACCAGCACCGCGCATCACCCAGCCGGCACGCCGATGTCACTGACCAAGACGACGAGGAAACCGACGACGAGGTCCACTACAGATTCCGTTTGTCCGGCCAAGATCTTCACCTGCGGCTTGAGCGGAGCCAGGGGCTGCTCGCACCGGGTTTTGTGTCGGAGAGGCGCGGGAAGAATGTGTCTGAATCGCGGTTGAGACGGATCTACCACACCCGCCACTGCCATTTCAACGGACACGTTCGCGGACGTCGCGACTCGCGCGTTGCTGTCAGCACCTGCGATGGCGTTGTAAGTACTTCAAATTTGACAGTTTTAATTAAATACACCAAGAGACAAGGGAAAAATATACGGAATTTCGTGAGTTTGCATTCAAATAATGGTTTGACAAAAGAAATGTGATAATTTGGGGACTTTCCCTTCACCACACTTTTTCAAAAATTATACCAGTGGAGTTGAAAGTGCTTTCCCTTTGTTCATTGTTTAAACGAATTGTGATCAGTGAGTTTGAAAGCTCATGCAGCTATACTCAAACAACCATTGTGATCAGTGGGTTTGATAGCTTATGCAGCTATACTCAAATAACCATTGTGATCAGTGGGTTTGATAGCTCATGCAGCTATACTCAAATAACCATTGTGATCAGTGGGTTTGATAGCTCATGCAGCTATACTCAAATAACCATTGTCCTTTTTCAATTTCTGATTTTCATTTCTACTTCTTAATTTTTTAAATGTAATATCACTGTCAAACTCAAAAAACAGAAAGCATTTCATAATTCACTGTTACTTGAAATAAGTTGATATCTCTGCGCAAACATTAGTTGTGTTTTTACTGCTGTGTTGTACAAGTTGATAGTCTGGATTTCATCAAGCGCTCATCCCTGTGTTGACAAGATACTGGTTAGTGGGACGAGAACCAGACATCCCAATGCACACCACGTGTACTGAGACACTTTACATTTCCATTGGCACTTCCTCTGTAATAAGGAACGAATTTCATGTTTCCTTTTTCACATGAGGATAAAAAAGGGGCATGTGGAGCCTCTGATCTGCCTCAGTATTATTGTTAAATGGATGTTTTTTTCAATTCAAGTCCTCTATTGATAATTCTTCTCAGCAGAGAAATTTTGCTAAGCACTGGAACTTTGTCAAAAAGCAGAGGAAGCTTCATTAGCTCAAAAGTCACGTGATGTATGAAGTTGAAAATAGATGTAGCAATAAACGTAGTTCTGGGAAAATCAGACCAGCGCATGTAGAATGAAAAAATGACTATTGATAGTATCAGTGGTATTCTATTCTCCTAATCCAAGAAAAACATCTCAGATACATCTCGTAAGAAAACTTAACCACCTGTATAGTTCAGGTTAAACAGTTTTTAAAACACAGGTCCATTTTTCATTTGTATGGTGACTGCAGGATAAGAAAGTAGCATTCTAGGAATTTGGTTTTGAAAGAATTACACGTTAATGTATTGTGTTATCAACCAAAGCTATTTATCTTCTTGAGACATTTCTCACCATGGTCACCATGGACACCCACTCCTCAAAAATCATAGCCTAATGTGCTAAATTCTTTGAAATTAATGTGCCTCTTGAATGTCTGGGTATATAAGTTGATTTTGAATTTGTATACAAGCCTGCGGCATTGGGCGGAGAGCTGGTCCCAGGGGGCGAGGAGAGTCGATTGCACAAACAACTTGAACAGTTTCTCCCGTGACAAGTGAGTCTGTAACACATGGCAATAACAGGTTCCTTCCGTTCGGTATCGACCCAAGGGGTGTAGCATGTGCAGTTTAAAGGGAGAACAAATTCACCTGTTATCCCTGGCTCTAACAAAAATAAATAACTGAGGATGGCAGGACCTGGGGAACAGATTTGTTTCTCCGAATTCTGTACGCCTGCAAAACACACACATTCTACCTATATACACCTTCCATATTACAACAAAGCTGGACAACTGGTTAAGCTTTTTCAATGTCGTCATTTACAGCTCTTATTTTTCTGTCCATATATTTTCTACTTTATAGAAAAGTTAAGAAATCCTGGCGTACTTGCATTCCAAAAAAGAACATTTGCGAGAGAGACAAGTGCTTCAAGACCTGAGTAAAACATTAGGGGCAAAAATCACGAAGACTGTGTGCGACGAAAACGTCTGGTGACTCTTAGGGAAAATTATCAGTGCATCCATGCATACTGGCAGTGGAAACTCTGGATTCAACATTTTATTAATTCTTGGCAAGTCCATCCCAGGTTAAATTACGGGAAATTACCGTTTTTTTCGCAAGCGTGAGCCAATTGTAAACATTTCCTGTTCAGAGAGGAAATAATGAGCTGCCAGTATTACTTCCCTCCAGTTTCTAATTCATGATTAAAATCTTATTGCAACATGGTATCCACTCATTGACAGGTCTTTGAACTTAGGTTGTTATAAATTATTGCATCCCTCATGTATTGGCTTTAAGCTGCTGTTTTACTATGCAGACAGTTCCGTTAACGTTACTTGTTCAAGTGGAAATTTCACCCCAAATTCTGTCGAAATCTTCATGTTTTTAATATTCTGCTGTGTTTTTCTTATTCCTTGTCGCTCTGTATTTCTTTTATTTTGATTATTTGCCAACGATTAAAAAACTTAAGGTCAACAATGTCGGCCCAGGTTGGTTCTTCTACGAAAAACATATTGCTTTTTAGTTTCGATACTTCACAGTTATCCCTTGTCAAAAGAGGCAATGGATGTTGAAACGTCAAAGCGAAAGGATAAATAGCTGTGAGGAGATCATTTGGAACGTTTATCACTCAGTGGCGAGCGCCACTCGATGTTAATGCCCGCATTTCTTGCGGACTAGACGGCAGCTGTGACGGCCGACAAACACGCTGAGATTCCGGGGTGGGGGGGGGGCGGTCGATGATGTGCCACTTTACCGGAATGACGGAACAAGAGGTGGGGTTATCGCAAAGTGTCACTGCATCAAGATTTAATAGAGGAAAACTGGAAAAACTGCGTGAATGGAATTTCGCAATTGAGCGCATTTTTATTGTAGTCAAATGCGCAGGTTGGGGTGATAAGAGAAAGGTCGATTTATTCAACGGTCAACAGACAGAAATCCGTGCGATAACTTCACTCCTCAGCCCACAGAAGAAAGACTACATGAACCCAGAGTATATTTTGACGGCCTAAACGAGAAGTTGTTAAAAAATGCTACTGCCTCTTTTGACAAATATTCGGTTGCTCGGTATGAATACGTTCTTTTTATTAGAGTACACTGCATGCTTGTACGGTCTTCGGCATTGTCAACAAAAAATCGTGTCTCTATCAGCGCAATATTGGACCAGATTTATAGTGCCACGGGCGTGTACAAATTGGAGACATGTTACTTGCAAATAGGGATACCGGTACAATAAAACCAAAGGGAGAGTGCGATGGGGGGGGGCTCGGCAAGAAACTCCTGATTTTATTACCCTTCTCGTAATCAGTGTGATCCATTTTGAGCATTTTGCTGTCGTGTTATCCAATGTGAAGGTTAAGACATCATGTAAGAACCATCTCTGGCGTTTGAAATATTTACGTCTTACCACCCACGAGGAGGAACCTGTCATCTTTATTTCCAGATATCCATGCTGAGGTAATCACATTCTTAGTCGTCCTGAAGCGATAACGGCAACATGTGGCATTGTTTTAATCGTGTCGTTAATATCAACGCGATAGCAAGAATAACTCCTTGATTTCCTGGTCTGTGTTCGACTAAGAGATGAAGTAGTGATCCAAGATGTTTCCCCGCCTATGCCTTGGCATTATGTACCATAGCTACAATCTCTGAGGGGAAATTAGAAAACAGGTCACAAAATCTGAAAAATTGTACCCTGAGGGGCGGTAACATGGATGATTTATCGCCTGAGTTTGGACCTTGTTAGCGAGTTGGAAGATTCAAACATCGAGACCCAAATCATCCTGCACTTCTGCAAAAAGTGTTTCTTATCCAAAGTAACCTTGACCGGGGGAAGGCGAAGCAACCAGCGCTCTGGTGAGACTCCAGGGAATTGTTAACCTTTATGTTCACCGCTAAATCACTCCCCAGAAAACAATCTATCACAATTTGTACGCGAATTAGGCAGAAGGAGGGAAAAAAACACCCCAAGATGCCAAAGTCCGGCGCCATTTTTCATGTCCGTGTCGGAAAAGATTCCAGCTGACGAGAAGCTGCAATCTGCTGGGCGACGGAGGGCTTCGCTATGTCCATGCTGGGTTTCCCCGCGTGAACGATACGCATGCGTCCAAAGCTTTTGGGGTTTCACTTTGTTAAGCGACCTCACAAGCGTGAGTTTCTTCAACCCACTTTCAGCATAACTACGGAGACACAGACGGAAGGTCTGGGTATGTTTCAGGAAAGGGGGGTATTGGTCTATTTTAGGAAGCTGATTTAACGCCCCACAACTTCTGTCCCTGTGTGAACTACAAAACAGCTGTGACGTTTTGATTTACTGTGTCGACGTGTGAAGCAAGCGTGACAAAACAAATAAGAGTGACATCCCGCGCACTCGGCAATAACTGTCTCTGTAAATTACGTGCCGATTAGAGAGGTTTAGAAAAAACACGAAAACAAGTTTTGCATCGGCAGTATGGATGTGGAAACGTGGGGGTTTGAGCCAAAGACATTTCGCTGTGGAATCCGGATGCTGAGATAAAAGTTCATGTTTACAGAGGGTGATTGAGGGTATGGGGAAGTTACGCAAGGGGTCCCGTTAAGTTCATAGAGGGAAATTCAATCTTTCTGCGTGAGGCCATTAAGTGACACAACCTGGCTCAATGAGAAGCAAAAAGAACAGTCGATTTCTCCCCGAACCGAGGGTGAGAGTATAAAGCAAGAGAACTCATTCAAGAGGATATTAGCCGCGATGCAGCTGCAGCAATTTCTTGTTATTCTCGAAGGCACCAGCAGCATGGAAAATTCAAAAGTCGAGGATAGGGCTTTGGGAGGACACAAACTGACTCTGGGAGGCGCTGTTCGAACTTACTTTTTGGCCACGTACAAGGGCGGATTCGAGGGGCGGATTCGAGGGGTAAAGAGGGGTGAGACCCCTTAAAAGAAGCCTTTTTAAAATAAAGATGGAAAGGTGAACTTTTTTGTTTGTGTCATCTCTTCTTTAAAAAAAAATCGAGTAACCCCCCCAAAAAAATTTAGCCCCACCCTTCAGAAAGGTTACATTAAAAATTCCAAATATTTTGTTCCCCCCAAAAGGTTGGTTCTGGATCGTCCTTGCCTCGTTGTGGTTTTTGTCCGTTTACTTCAGCAGCGAATAGGATCAAGCCGCATGGCAATACATTTCAAGTTTACGATTAAGTTCTTCTATTTACGGAACGCCATACGATCAGCAGATGAACCACTGAGTCACTTGCAGGGAAAGAGTTGCCCAGGAATAGGTCAGTGGGCGTCATGAATTACTGCTCGCGTTCCCGGGTGTATGGTTGCCTGGCCCAACTCCCTTCGCAGATAACCACACAGGCTCCAAGTTTTACTAAAGAATGATAGCTGAGACATTGTTTTACCAGAAAGTTACACCGAATCGAGTTCAACTACCATTTGAAGGGAATTTAAAACGGTGTCTGAACGCCTCCAGAACTTATAAGTACCGCAACGAAGTTTGATATCATTTAGAAGGGGGAAAAAGGAATAAACGAGAGTGAAAGGTGTTATGATAGAAACTTTCGCTTGAGAAAATTCATTTTTGCGGCGGATACAACACCTGTTTTCGTCCAATTTGACAGGTGTGGGTAAGCTGTGTAGACATTTTCAATATCCAGCGCTGAGACACCGACGATTGTCGGCATTTAGGAAACATTCAGGGGGGCTGAACCGCTGGATTAGTTGTGTCGAGGTGGGGGGAGGCATTATCAATTATTTCACCGCTGGTGTTTGTTTCGGTGTGTCTGTTTTCGCGCCGGTGAAATTTTAGATGTTGTAGGAATCGTGATTGACCGCATCAACGAGAAGGGTCACAGTGTTGCGCCTATCTGCCGGATACGCTCCAAGGACCGAAAGAGGATTTCTCAATGTCGGACCCTTGGTACCACACGGATCGCGAAATGTCACTGCAATTTATTCAATTAATCCAAAAGCCATTATGGGTAAAAGCTCAAGGTGTTTATGTTTTGAAGTTGTTTGGTTAGCCTTTGTTGTAACGAATCAACGATCACGGGTACCTGCTCAGCTTTACATCTCCTGCAGCGATTTGAAGGGAATTAGGGTAATATATCCGTCAAATCCTAGTTCTAGAAGGTTAATCATATTTTCCGGAAATTCTCGGTAATTTGGAGCCCGAAGGGAAGTTCTTTTTCACGGTTCGGAGTGTGTAAGTGTAAGTTAAAAATGATTGAGAAGTTGCAATTAGAGTTTCCAGGTCAAGGTTATAAAACAATTTGAGCGATACAAATTAAGATTTGACAGACTCAGTTTAATAAATGGTTATAGTCGTTTCTCTGAAATAAGTTTGATTTAGTTCCATGGGCATATTCAACTTAACTTCAGTCAAGTTTAGATTGGATAACTTTTGTATTTTGAGCTCTTTTTTATTTGTCGGAAGTAGATTCGTCCTACAAGTGTTTAAAATAGAGTGTTATTGTTGTCTTACTACTATCAGTATTACTGGGTCGAAAATTCCATTCCCTGGTCTTATAAATCGCATGCGAATATGAACAGACTCCTAACACTTGTTTGCTCCTATTGGAATGACAGATTGGAATGATCAGACTACAAGAAGAAGAATTCTTCATCGAACCCGTCAAGAACTACACCGGAAGTCAGGGTGCCAAGCAGCATCCACACGTCGTTTATAAGCGATCAGCGATAGCAAACCAAGCCTGGCAACCTCACGCAGAGCGCCGCCATCTTGATAGGCGTGACACTGGCAAGAGTGGGCAGGAAGATTTTTGCGGCGTGCAGGATGAAGGTTGGTGGGAAATCAGAGGCATGCCAAGGACTGCTCACAGTGAAGCGAAGTAATTATTCGTTCAAAATATTCGGAGAGCAAAGGAATGTTTGTAGTCTCCGAACCAGCCTCACACAGGGAAGCGATAAACTGCAATTGATATGAAGGCCGTTAAACTGTTGAACAAAGTCAAAGTTTTACTGGTCGAATTGTAACAGCATCTACCTGAAAAGTTGCACTACCCAAACACCAATTATTTCCACCAAATGAGAAAACTTTTCTTACAAGTTCCTCAGAAAATTTACCGTATTTGTTGACTTTTAAAAATAGCAACGGACGAGAAGCGCAGCACACGACAGAAACGAGCCAGTGAACACAGCAAAACGGCTTCAGCGCACAGGAGGCGAAGACGGTCATCAAGTCTGGAGCGAAACGTTGAATTACTGGTCGTTATTGATAAGCACATGCTTCATTATTACCAAGATCAAGACATTGAGACCTACGTGTTGACCATCATGAACATTGTGAGTGCGTCAACAGAGCCAACCCTAATTGTAGGCCGATGCTCAAAATCTTCAAAAAAATGAATCATAAAATTGAACGCTCTGATAATGTTCCGGATATTTGATGATTTTGATATCAGGTGATTTCCAGGAAGTCCCCAATTTTGTGGTTCTGGTGAGTGTTGCATTCTTGACAAAGGAGTAGACCTACTTGTCACGATCACCCTACTCGGCGGAAAGAATTAAGTAATGACTAATTATAGAAGTAACATTGGGGAAAGAGGAACATTTTTCCTTTTTTTTCTCTCTCAAATTTTTCGAAAATGTGTTTGAATGTTGATGATGTCCCCTTGTCTGTCACACATCTAAAACTTTCCATTTTGAATTGCAGGTCGCTACTTTGTACCATGACGCCAGCATTGGTAATTATATCAACATCGTCATGGTGCGCATGCTCTTTCTGGAGGAGGACGAGGTGGGAATTGAAAACAACACGCATGCATGCTTGACAAATCGACACGCTAATCGTTTGCAAATGACAATGATGGAACTGACGTTAGGTGTACATTGAAATTACTGTACTGACCAGAATCCATGCACCCTCCCTCAGTGACCATATAATCCTATTTTCACTTTCCCAATACGTTCAAAGGTCTTTTACTGCCTTCACATTGCTACAGATCCCAATAGGTACCACCTGCCTATTTGGCTCTTTAAGGGGATAAGTTTCTCTTTATAGCCTTCGGTGGTGCGTTTGTTTCACGTAATAACTCGCCGCTTTTCTGAACGAGTGCCTGCCCTTCTTGTTTGTTTGATATACGTTTCCGCCATAAGAAACTTAATTTATATTTCACTCGATTTTTACCCAGGTCTTTAAGTGTATTTAATTGACTTTAAAAACTCGGCATAATGCAGACTCGAATTAATTCGCAGCCACGAGAAGAAAACAAGTTGCGACCGGCTGGTAGCCACTCACTAAAAGAGAAAACACCCCCGTGAGAAATATACCTGTACCTCTAAGAGACATATTACACACGGGTCTTGAGCGACCAGCTATCAAGAAAGGACCACATCAGCATGGAAGTGAAACACGATCAGATTGGTGGAACTATAAAATGTTTAGGACAGTGGTGTAGCTGGGATTTTACTGGGGGGCACAAAGGGGGCACCAGCAGCTTATGGGGGGCACCTGCTTTCAGTGGTGTGTTTGTGGGAGGCAAGTTTTTGATAGCCTTGTTCAATATCCATTCATCGCCACTGGTTTTGGAGGATGTATCATTGTAGTCGATGGTGAAAGAGAAACAGGTTGCTGGTGTTGTACAAACCTGAATAAGTCTCTGTCATCTGATTGGTGAAGTCAAGTGACGTCATTATTTGGACTAATGCATAAGATGTGCGCACCGCAAAAACCGAGCTACAGAACCTTGCAGGGGCTTCCTTGGGTTAAAAATGATGAATACATGCTTAAGTGCTGTAATAAGGCCGTCTTTCAGGTTATATGTTTTGATCGGTTTGCCGCGTTTCACTCATCTGGAACCTCCAATAAACATTCTCCGCAACTTTTGCATACTGAGTCGAGTCGCACTGACGACAAGTACATACCGAACGGCCCCTTAACGTAGCTCCTGGCGCAAAATGCCAGACGGCTAACAATGTAAACGGAGAGCACCAGTCCTTCTTTTAAATGACGATGGAGAAATTTCTGAACTCATCAGTAATTCTGAATCTTCTAATCTAAAGAAAGAAATTAAAATGATATAAGCAATTTGCAAGACACCCATGCACATATTTGTTTAAGCGTAAACTAACCATTTTATACCGTATTGGTATTTCAAGCGCCTCATACTTCAGAAAACCCCCCTTTCTGAAATGTTAGCAATGTGACAATAGTATTAAGTTGCTTTTCCGTGGGAGCCTATGTTAACTTAAACGTATGCTCTACAGGTAGGATTATCGATTGAGCACGATGCCGACAAGACGCTAAGCAGCTTTTGCCGATGGCAACGGACGATAAACCCTGGGGATGAGAACCACCCAAATCACCATGACGCTGCCGTTCTGTTGACAAGGTAAGACGGGATATTTTTTTCAGGGCAATGCAACTTTTTGACTTAGCTCCATCACACAATCCCGTTTGTCATCAGTTGAACGACAAATAACGGATGTTAATGTGCAATTGAAATTATTCATGTAATGCCTAAAATCCAAATAAGTCTATTGTCTCCCGTAAATGTTTACTGCAAGACCCACAGGAATGTCTCTCCAGCTATTAACTGCGACCAAAAATCAAACAAAATCACGATCGCTACACAAAACCGTCAACAGTGTACATTAAGTCTAGATTCAACATAAACAGTAAACACATTTTCTCTGTTGTAGTCATATTTCACATTAATTTGTTATTCTTGCATTCCGCTCCAAACACAATTGAAAACAATCGGGCAACCATTTTTCTCCCAGTATAAAAGATTCACATAAAACTATCAAAGACTAAATAAACACATTAATTCCTCTTATAATAAACACAAACATTGTTTCCAATGATCGATTGATAGTCATAAACTCTCGCGTTTGAAGCCAAAAGGTGTTGACAGCAACCATTTCTTCGACACCTCGCTAACGAGATCTGACTTGAACTAAATGTCACGTGCTGGTTTTTCTCTCGGTTGAAAAGGGAAGTTTCCTATTCAAGTATTTCATACTGCACTTGACGTAATTTATAACCACTTCATTCTAAATGCTGTCCAAAAGTAACGTAAAAAGCTCGAGGTAACTTCAGGTGAGACTCTGTCCTACGACTTGACATAACTTTACATAACTTGTGAAATCTATAGGGGTTTGTTTTGTAATTGATGTGTTCGAAAGTGGCACCTTCGTGACCATGCGCGTTATGTCTCGGGTTGAATGTCAGTATTTTGGGGCTCACCAGTGTTTTCAATTTATTCTTTACAGGAAGGATCTGTGTAAGGGATTTGATGCTCCCTGTGGCACCTTAGGACTAGCGCAGGTGTCTGGCATGTGCCAGAGCGAATGGAGTTGCAATATCAACGAGGACACAGGACTTGCTTTAGCCTACACCGTCGCCCATGAGCTCGGGCACAGGTACGTCAGCAACCACCCACCTGTCGGCTTAATATCAAGGGACTCAGTCCACATCTTGGCAAGATCGGTCGACACATTGTGGAGACTCGCGGTGAATCATGAGCACGATTTAACGATTTAACAGTTTCAAATCCGGCTTCTTCGTCAGGAATTGTTAGAATATGTAGAGATGGAAAAAAGCACACTGACTTTCCACTCTTGCTTTACTGTCCAAGTAGTTCGTATTAGCATGTTTAGCAGGTGCGTGTCAGCAGGTGTCTAGGCGAAAGTGAAGAAATATCAAAAAGGATTTGAAGAAACAAATGTGAAAGAATGTAAAGTGTTGACAGAGGAAGGAAAGTTGCCAGGTGACTGGCCATTCAGATCCTAAAAAGTAGATTTGGTGATGCGTTTATTTGCAGAGTATGTAACAAAATGTTTTTAACAAATAATACAATGTAGTTGTTAACTGTGTACTAATTTTTTTTTAAAATATGCTTTCAGTAACAATTTATCAAGTGCATTTGAGAGCGACACCCCCAAAAACCACAATTGAATTTGTTTTTTTTCCAAATTAGAATATGCTTTGAAACTATTCCTTCATAAGGTAATGAAAATCTGTTCTTGAAAAAGTATAATCCTTGGAATTATTTTACCAACCCGTTTTTGAAGCTCACGTGATATTTCGCCCTGCACTTGACCCAGAAACGTTGAACCAAACTAGTCTCGCCTGTAGTTGTGGTTCCCCGTGAGTACATCGTTTATCTGAGTCCAGTTTGACTGGAATTCGCATGCCGCGCTTGAGGCAACCTTCATCTCCACAATTGTTTGGATAATCACCGATTGACTTGGAGACGAATGTGTTGCAAAATTAATTTCCCTCTAGCTTCTCAGCGCTTGGAGCAGCTTAGCGTTTCGATTTCTTTCATGTTGTTTCTGGATTCTTTTCGTTGGTCGTATAGTTTTGGTATGCAGCACGATGGATTGGACAACGCGTGCGGACAGGGTAATGAGTCACAGGTTCACGTCATGTCATCGCAGCTGACTGGGGTGTATGGAGCGCTAACATGGTCGGCCTGTAGCCGAAACTACATCACAAGATTCTTGGAGTAAGTGGGTGCACGGAGTCAGCAGGTCACGTTCCCCTGTCCTGTAGACCTTGAGATCGTTTATCGCTGATCCTGAGTCAGCGTTTCCTCTTCGACAGCCCTGGGTTTTCATCTTATGTCATAATGTCACGATATTTAATAGGTTTTGGCAACTCTGTGATCCAACTGATTATGCAGTGTAAATGCGTCGGTGTAAGGACAATATTGAGTTGAAAATTAACATCCCCGAACCAAAGCTGTACTTGTGGTTCCCGTTGACGCATTGGATTCTAACCATCCACCCTGCAGGTCTGGTGGTCGAGGGGTTAACCGTGAGCTCCGCACTAGTTACAAAAATCCACCAGTTCATCAAATCCCGTGCAAACAAACTTAGGATTTTTTTTCATAACTTTCGGACCACTCTGAATGTACAGTGTGAATATACCAGGACAAAGCCTAGTATTTAACAATATGATGGCATTTTTAAATACCTTTTTGACAGGTCTGTCATTTCAATTTAGGAGTTAATAATACGATAGTAATTTGAGAAACATACACTGTGAGGTACCGACAAAATGAAAACATAAATTACCATTGACCATCTTGGTCATAATTTTGAGGAATTTTTCCAAGTTGTTCTGTCAGTTAGCTGCAAAGCTGGAAAGCAAAAATTCTTTTCCCAGAATTCGAAACTCGAATACTAAGGTTATTTTATCCCAAGTAAATATTGAATTTAGATATAATTGCAGTTATGTTTCATAAAAAAAGGAAAATTCTTTTTTTTCTGTATCCATTCATCCACTGAAGGTCGTTAATTCTTGATTCGGATTTTGATCATTTTGATTCGTTTTCATTGACAGTCAAGGATTTGGAGACTGTTTAAATGACGAGCCCACCCCTCACGATTTCAGCTACCCGTTTGTTCCGGCTGGTGTCATGTACACAGCGGCCCACCAGTGTAGATTGCAGTACGGCGCCAATGCATCAGTATGTTCTCAACTTGAGGTAAGTGTGGCAAAAAAAAGGGAAATACCGACCATGGCCCGATGAAGCACCTGAAGCTGCAATTGCCAAAGATTTCTTTTTCTGATGTAAATCCTCATCTGAAGAGAACCCGTCGTCTCTAGGGTTTTGTCCAAGGACATAGCGCAACAGAGCAGATTTGTGAGGCCACAAGCAGTTATGACACTTATATAATTGATCATATGATTTCAATTATCTCACTATGATTGTTTTATGCTAATCTGCACTTTCCAATTTTGGCCACAGCCAGATCAGTGTTCAACACTATGGTGCAAATCTGGTAACCGATGTCATTCGAAGCTATCTGCGGCTGCACCGGGAACCAGCTGTGGACGTGACAGGGTAAGTTGCTTTGCTGAGGAAGATTGTTGTTTCCTTGTAGTTTCACAGCAATGCTTGACTGAACATGGTGCTTAGCGAAGTTTTTATCGAATGTCGATTACCAGAACCTGCAGCAGTCAGTAAATATTCGTAGCATGAAACGTCTGCCAATAGTTATCTATTTTGTTTCTCAAAAATTGTTCAGTAACTTTAAGTACCGTTGAAACTGGTCTGCAGTGGCATTTGAGGAACAGAAACGCACCTTTCGAGGATTTGTTATGAAAAATTGATTACTTTTCCTTTTAGTGGTGTAGCGGTGGTGAATGTGTTGACATCAAGGAATCAGCGGCTCCAATCCACGGTGATTGGGGGTCATGGAGCGAGTGGTCACCCTGCTCACTGAGCTGTGGCTCTGGTGTTGCCATTAAGGAGAGGCACTGCAATAATCCACGGTAACTTTGCACGTTACAAAATGTCTTTGAAAAACCAAATCAAACTTTTAAAAGTAAAACATAGTCTGCAATGTTTAAACAAGTTTACTCCAAAATAAGCGCAGAGGTACAACTATCTCATTATAATATCACAACTACTAAAAACTGAGACATAAGTTTACAAAGTGCCCGTGAAAAGAACAAAACCGTTCTTTCATGTTTTCATTTCTGTGTTCAACTGGTAGGTCATTTCCATACTTTATGCGTAATGTCCGTGTCTTTGTTCAATTGTAGACCCTCCAATGGTGGCAAATATTGTGTAGGTGAACGAAAGAAGTACGCCATATGCAATCGGCAGGTAGGATAATCATCTTAAATTTTGTCTAATTTAACGCCGAGTGTCCGAAAGGGGAAGTTAACAGTCGGCCCTACATTAAAAGCTTGATCGTACTCCAGACTCTTTTTTCGTGGACCTTTGACAGGAATGTCCCCAGGGCAGTGTGCGTCCACGTCACGCCCAGTGCAGCAGGTACAACAGACTGGCTTATCATGGTAGCTACTTCCAATGGGTACCGTATTACAAAGAAAGTAAGCAACAAGTTCAGAGTTACAGTCAGTAATATTCATTTCCACATTTTCTTCCCTGACAATCATTTTTAATGTTTGATCTTCCCTTTTTGCTCAGCTGTTTTCTTTTTTTTATTCATTAAATTACTGAAATTGTAAATCATATTTCCTCAGGCTAAGTAAGAAAACCCAACTCGATCTCAAATCAATTGTGTTTAAGACTTACTAAGTTAACAAAGTAATGTCACATTTGTCAACAAAGACGCTTTCTGCGAGTTGCATTGCCGGCCCCTGGAGAAGAGATTCTTGCTTCCGATAAAGTTTGCCAATGAGGTGACGGATGGGACTCCATGTACGGAAGATTCCAGGGATTTATGCATTGGTGGCATCTGCTATGTAAGGATACAAATATTAGATTAATTTTAGCGCAAATTAATAAATGATTGTAAAATCAAAGTTGTTGGACCAACGTCTGGTAGTATAGTATTTTTAACGTAGTAGGATCAAAATGAAAGTACTGTAAGTTTTAGTTACTTTGAGTAAAATTTGCTAAGCGCTCAAAGTTGTTAGCAGTGGAGTTTTGACCGACGCTGTTCGGAGTGCTTGCAGAAAATATAGTAGTTTTCGGGTCATTTGTTCTAAGTACAACAATTGAGTTTTATCACTATTTCAAATAAATTGTTTTCTAAAAACAGTTTAAGTTTTTCTCGTATCCTCATTATTAATTGATATTTATTGTTTGCGCTTTGTATATTAATGTTGTGGTAAACATTTTACGTAAAACCATCGTTTAGAAAGTTGGTTGCGACTATCAGATCAATTCGGAGGCCGTGGAAGACCGGTGTGGGATCTGTCACGGCGATGGATCATCGTGTGAGACTGTTAAAGATCAACTCATCAAACAATCTGGCTTCGGTAAGACTGTCATCATATCACGAAAATGCAAACTGTAGCCAAATTACATCTTGAAAACTAAGGCAAAAAGAAGGCTGAAGAGATGATGCTACCCTGGATGTGGGGGAAGTAACATTATTTTATGAAAGGTGAACACATTTTAACGAAATGTTGATGTTTAGGAAATTTCTTAACTATTAAAAGTTTCATAATCTTTCAGGCACTTGCAGATGGCATCAACATGAAAATGCCTAACCTGAAATGATTGATTTACGTTTGTCAGGGTATGTTGAAGCCATGGTTATCCCTGCTGGAGCTCGGAATATTCGAGTAGAGGAGGTAGCCGAGGCGAATAACTTCCTAGCTCTGATGGACTCATCTGGACACTACTACCTCAATGGGGGGTGGGACATTAAATGGAGTGGGACGTACGAGGCAGCTGGGACTGTAGTGCGATACGAGAGAGATGATCAGAATAAGGAAACGTTTGATGCTAAAGGTCCGCTCAAGAAACCACTACATGTCATGGTAAGTACCCCCATAGAATGAACTGTGGTGAGCTCTGACGTCCAATTGGATCCGATTCTCCAGAGCAGTTAAAAGGTCCTGTTCTGGAGCGGAAACTCGGGGGGGTGTCAGAGTATTTTAATAATATCATTTTCTCCCTCAAAAATCGGAGGGCGGAGCATGAAAGGAGGAACACATATTGGAAGCGTGTAGAATGATAGTTTATGTTTATTTTAATTATGTTTCATTCGTAAACTGTCAACATTTCTGGCCATCAAGCTCGTTGAGGTCTATTCTCCTGCCGGAATTTGGCATTTGAAAAACCGGATTTGGCAACGGTTATTCCGATTCTGAACTCAAAGTTAACCGTGAAATAATGTAAAGAAAAGAGAGATATCGTTTTTCCCCCTTTTTGGTAGTTATTGTTTCAATCCAAGACGGCTGGTGTAGCCTACGAGTACACGGTCCCTAAGCCTGGGAATGTGACTGTACCTGTACCTAAACACTTCAAGTGGACCATCGCTGGCTGGACACCGTGCACGGCAACGTGTGGCTCAGGTGGGCCTACAGAAATAATCGTAATCAAAATTTATCACAATTCATAAAGGAGTGTTCTTGAACACAATTTACCCTTTCAGTTGGTACTGTTGTTCGCATTTATCTTTACTCAGGAATACCCTTTTGGAATGGCTACGATTTGGTCCATAAATACTTCGTATAAATAATAATGGAAAGATGCATGATTCTTTGGTGACAAAGTCCCCTCGACGCCCTCAATAAACATATAAAGAAATACTGAAATTATTAGAATCCAACTTTTATGAAGTTTCAGAAAACAAAAGAATACCATCTGCAGCACAGTACGAGTTCAACAGGGATCTTCTTTTCGAAATGTCTTCATTTTTCTTGTTACTTTTACTAGGTCTGCAACGAGAGATCATTCATTGCGTGGAGCGCATAGCTGGTGTAGTTGAGGACAAATATTGCAATGATACTAGACCGGCTAATAGGCAACGCCAATGTAATGTGCATCAGTGCCCAGCAAAGTGAGTGAAAAATGTCTGATTTGAACAAAATGAAGAAACCAGAAATGGGAGATAAGAAGTGAAGTGTCGCCAACGGTTACCTTTTCGTTGCTGTGTCAAAAATGCTTGTAGATTATTGCTGGCTCATCGGCGTTATTGCCATCGGCAAGACCAAAATGTCTTGCTTCTTCGCTGAAACACTATTTGATAAATAAATAACTTTTGGATCCTTTTTCATTGTAGTTGGTGGATTGGTCCTTGGCAACACTGCTCAGTGACCTGCGGGTCAGGAGGCGTGCGCAGTCGGTCGGTGTTCTGCATCCGGAGCATCGGGCAAGATGAACAGGTCGCCTTGGTTGATGAGGATTGTCTTCGGCTCGGGCTGACGAAGCCGGAGATGACGGGGAGTTGTAGCGTAGAGACGGCGTGCCCGATGAGAGCCCACTGGATCACAGGAGAATGGTCAGAGGTAAGTCATTGTTCACAGTGCGATGATCAAGCGTAAAAGTTGCATCAAACACGTCCTCTCAGACCTCACCCTTGTGACGCACCTTTTTTACTTGGAACTCGAAAGCCCGTCCACAGACACTTAACAATAAACTTGATTAACTTGCTTCATGATATGGCAACGAAACCGTCGTGAAACTTTCTGTCTTAGCATAACCTTGAATAGGTCATTCTCAGTAACTGTTTTTGTGAATGTCTTAAAGACAAAGACTGAAATTATTTGTCAGTGTTTGTACAAGAACGGACGGGCTGAGCAGACGAGGACAGTTCAGTGCAGCAGGATTGATGCCTTCTGTGACTTCAGTAATCGTCCCCCCACCCGACAGCCTTGTGAAGATTATTATGGATATTCATACGATTACTACGTCGACTACAGCGAGAAACGAGACGAAACACCAATCAGCTTCGGCGAATGGGAACGACTGAAAGCGCAGGGATTGCTGGATGTAAAGGACAAGAGTCCAACAACCAAAGTGGCGCCGACGCAGATGGAGTCAAACTTCTTAGCCAATCAGGTGCCTGATACCGGCCTCCATGAATACGTAATGCCGCCTGAAGGCACAGACAAGACTCTGATTGGCAGAGCAGATAATGACGTTATCTTGGGCATTGAGATACCACGTAACATTGATCCAGACGGCGATTGGGTGGAGCCGTCCAGTCGGAGTGAGGTGAACGGAAACACGATAGAGACTGATACTGTAGCTACACCCATAGAAGAGGAACAAACAACGGAACAAAATGGATTTGTCCTGCATGGAAAAACACTGTGGTGGTTCTCCAGGCCTTGGTCGGAGGTATGAATTATTCACGCTGATATCGAGGTTAAAATCTGAGCCACAAAATTGATCAAAGAACGACTAAAATACTTCAAAATTACTCAATCTTTTGGTACGATCCCTTCAAAGACACATTCTTTTTTCGTAGTTTGATTCCATTCGTCATTTTTCATCAGTTACAATTTTTTTTATCTCTTGTTCAACTTCAAACCAGTGTTCGGTTAGCTGTGGTGACGGTGTCCGCTATCGGACAGTGGAATGTCTTGAAGTCAATACAGGTCTACCACACAGAGGCTGTGACCAGACCATTAAGCCTAGCGTACGCGAGACATGCCGTCTGGCAGACTGCAGTGGTAACAGTGCATCGTGTAGGTATTACTTAATGTGAGAGAATGGTCGTCGTTCTCAGATAGATCAAATTGTCAAGTTCATTTGTCATGTACAGTCCTTGGAAAATCAATAAATCACTCGATAACAACGATTTCAAACATAGGCATACAAAGTGTAAAATCATGTCTACAAAACTTAAAGTTGCCGTCACCGAAGATCATCAGTTTTAGTAAAAAAAAAAACGGTAGGCCTACATAAAAAACATAACTTTAAGTGTCCTTTAGGTAAGTTTTTCAGAATGTATTTTCTTTCCTTTTAGTTTCTTACAGCTGCGATGGGAACACGCAGAGCGATACTTGGTGTCATCTAGTGAAAGTAATGGGCAACTGTCATAAGGACATATACAGAGACATGTGCTGTGCTACGTGTATCACTCAACCCGCTGGTCCCGCACCAAACCCCTAACATGAAATATAATGTCAGGAGTAACTGACATCAACTGGTAGCCGGCTTGTGTTCCATGCATGCTGCCTGTGAGCTACGACAGGTTCTATAGGTTACCAACTCCCGACAGATTGGTGACATCAGCATGCCAATCGTGTGCAAGTCTACACTATCAACATTACAAGGATATCCTAAATGCATCACAAAAATCGTTTGTCAAAATAAGTGACAGATACCCAGCAGTGCTTTTCCAAGAACGCATTAATATAATTATCCAAAGCAAGAATGAATAAGTGTAACAAATTAATGTTTACTAAATAAATACTACCATTAATATAAAGTGAGGAGACTGTGTGCTAATCATGGGTTTGGTGAGTGAATGCTGGAGAAAAATCTCTATTCATTAATTTGAGATGATTTTGTCGTGATACTGAGGTACTTATTGACATTGGACCGAATTGCCTATTGTCGACCGTCCTATTTAAAGTCAAAACAAATTGACCCTGACAAATGGAAATATAAAAGCATATTGATCTTAGTGGCCGCGTATACGCTGAAATGCTAAAATGCTTTTATTTATGAACTTATGAAAAACTATATGTTTGTACATTTTAAACCTGTAAAATGCAGAAAGTGGTTTGTAAAGTGTAAAAACAAAACATTGTACGTACACAAATTTATTTAACTGATTGTTTGCAGAAAGTGAATGATACTCCCTGCATAGCAGTCATTAATGCATTTACAGTATTCTTATTATTCGCTCTGCTGGTATTTAAGTAACTTGTTGATAAAATGCCGATGAATGTGCTACTTTCTACAGTCGGCCAGGAAACGAACTCACTGCGACCAAAGTTCAGAGAATGGGATCTGAAATCATTGCTTTGTGGACTGGGTGGATTGGATATGGATGGGATACTCTAAATCTCTAAAATGCCTCTTTTAAGAACCCTTTAGTGACGATATTGAGCATGAGAATCGCTTATAGAATACGTTAACGATTATTGCATGAATTTCATGCTTAAATGTGCGTAGACCTGTAAGCTTTATATCATCGCATTTACATCACTCTGTGCTTTTATGGAAGCATTTATACGCAGATAGCCTGCTTTATCATTGGTCCGGAATAACAATTAGTGACATGTCCAGTTTAATATTGGGATATAACTGACACTCAGACCGTTACTAGTTTTTTGCGATGTCTTCCTCTTTTTCTGCTAATGATTCATTTTCGATGTTTGCCGTCATTGCTTCGTTATATTCAAAATGCAGTTTTCAAAGAGCCTTTCATTGTTTATTGTTGTTTTTACAGTACAACACTGTTTTCGAGTATTGTTTCTTTCATCACTTTCACGTTGGTTGTCAACCATTTTCGATATCTGCGCCATTGTGTTGCTGTGAAGCATTACGAATAACAATAATATTTAAACAAATATCAAAATGTGTTCCCATTATCATTTCAGATCAGAGAAAAACAGCACATATCTCTTGTATCATTTATTTAACCTTTTGTGCTATCTTCTGTCACCACTTCATCGTGTATTAAAAGTGGCCAATCTCATTTTTGATATTTTCAAAATTTACTCATCAATGGTATTTGACCGAGCTAAAAAGAGTCCCCGCATAGAGGGACAAACTCACATTGGTGTCAAGCATTAATTTTGTCAAGCATTAATTTTTTCTTCACCACTCACGCGATTTCTAATAAGGAGCAGTCTTCTTAGGGGGCAATAGATCCTTCATAGTTATTTTCTTAAAATCATAAATGAGGTTGAAAATATACCCCGACCCATACAACTCATTGATATCCAGAAGTCACGTGAGATAGAAGTTTAACAGCTAGCCGCATGCCTATGCAAATTACACCTGCGTTTTCTGACCAATGGGACTACCGTTCATGCTCCCGCACAATAAATTAAGTTTGCACGTGCCTGTAATATGCGCGTGGTATGTTATTTGTTATGCAAATAAACCGCCAGCAAAAAGCTTTTCTTCATGCCTGGTACTGCCACTGCTCAAAATTGAAGGTGTTGGATTCAATTTTACAAGTTAAGTTCGGCACCTGTTCAGGTCAAGTTCCCCGATTACAAGGAGCACTATATTTAGGATACGCAATATAAATCTTTGTAGAACGGACTGCTACTTTCAGTCATTGAGTTTCTTCGGCCAAATCCCTCAGTAACACGCTTGGGTGGGGCGGCTTGGACTCACAGTCTCTGCTGAGATAATCCTGCAACCAAGACCAGGAGACAAGTTAAAGGATCGTTTATCAAATAGAAGGACCTCTGGTCGCACCGTGACGTAGATGATCATTCCATCTTGATGTGAGTACAAACATGTCAGTGCTCTAAAATTGTTTGTGTAAAATTTAGCACTGGGAGCGAAATTTCTAATTACAGTACAACTGTAGCGAACAATTCGACCGTTTGAGACGTCGAGGATCATTATGTATAACTAACTCACGAGGTGAGCAATTACTGATGCTAGCCGACTGTGACTCGTCTGTAAGTGGGAGACACTTCGCAAGTATTAACAAATAAACCAACGAATGAAATAAAATCAATAAATGCGTGAATTCCTACTTATTTTAAAATTGGATATCGACGAACAAAGAGAGGCACCAGACCCCCAATACCTGACTGTCAATTACAGGCTGTAATTCGCTCCCTATACATGTACTGGCATTTGGCCGTCCACTATTACGGTCTGGCGCCCCCTGTTGCTCGTCGTTAGTTATAGGCTAGTGACATAAAAGTTGAAGATCAGATATAAAGTGACAGCAGGGGCTGATGGTCTATACTTGAAATTTTATTGATGGTCTAAGGGTTTCGGTTAAAATTTAAAAGACAAGTGTTGCAGTTTCGCTAACAAAAAACAGCTTTTCGATAAGTAAGAAAATAATAATTGAATGTGATAAGGAACAAATATAAATCAATGCATAAATTAATGACTGAATTTTAACTGAACTAAAAACGAAGCCATCCCTGTCCAAATTGAATGTTAAGATCAACTCCCATAAAAAGGGCGAGTTTTTGTTATTTTTTGTGAACTGTAGTTTTTTGTGAACTAATTCGAGTAAACTCTGGTGTTCTGGGAGTAATCCTTCCCATGGCTGCTTTGTTAAAAGTCACATTGCCGTCATAAGATAACATTTGAAATATTTTACCTTGAAATTCGAATTTCACGAACAACTTTCATTTTAGAAGCGCTGCCACGCCCAGAACATTATTAAGGAGAAAATTGACAGCGCCCTCTTGCGTTTCAGAGAATTTCTAAAATGGCGGCTACCAGTGATGATGTTTTGGAAGTAATGGAGGCTAGAATAAAATTGCTTGAAGATCGAGTATGCGGCACAGAGGCCTACCAAAATGGAAACTCGAACAATCCGGAGGTAACACTGATCTAAAATAGATTATTATCTCCGTTTGATATAGAAAATGAATTATTTTAATTGACATTTACTAACGTCAGGCTAAACTAAAGTTAGCACTTTTTCCGGTTTGTCCGGACGTAGCCCCAATAATAGGGCTGTAGTGGCTCTCTTTTACAATCCGTCTCATATCTGTCGCCACCACAGCCCTACATCAAGGCATGTCTTAAATGCCTGAAATCCAAACTGCAGGATTGTCACAAACTTTGAATCCAATATCTTCCGAAATGAGAATGACTCAACAATTTTACTTACACCGGTGTATTCCTCAGAGTTTGGTCTATCTAGGGCCTTGGCCTATATGAGCTTTCCAAAACTGTACATTTTCTGATGTATAAAGCTTTAGGCGTTGGAAGACAAGGCACCCGACAGATGCCTTAGATGCATAATTCATGTTGTCACAGTATTGCTTAGTAATAAGTTGCGCACGCACTTTGCTAGTGTACAGTCCGCCCACAGCACATGTGAGGAGCATGATACAGACGTGCATATCCGCATATTAATGTTATTCAAATTCAGTTTCACCAGTTCCTTGTTTGTCTGTCACACAAAGTATGACAGGGAACCAGTATTGTATGATACAACGTTTACCAGAGCACCTGTCTGGTGCCTTGAAATCCGACACACGAAGCGCTGTCTTTGTGTTTCAAAATGGTGCCACCCGTGGTCAGCATGTAATACTACAGGCCGGGTTTTTCAAGGCGCCATACACCAGAAAATTTACGATTTTGGAAAGCTTTACGGTGCTCGTATGAAAGTCCTAACTCTGAGGAATGTGTCAGTGTAAGTAAAATTGTCGAGTGATTCTCATTTCAGAAGATATTAGGATTCAAAGTTTGTGACAATCCTGCAGTTTGGATTTAAGACATGCCTTGATGTAGGGCTGTGGTGGCGACAGATATGAGACGGATTGTAAAAGAGAGCCACTACAGCCCTATTTGTGGGGCTAGGGGAGACCCAGCTAGGAGGATGTTAGGCAAGGGCCTAAGCCTAGGCTTGATAATGTTTATAAGCCAAGACTAGACTTATTTTTTTTATATGATGCATTTTTAATTTTCTTATGTTGTCGTGTTAAATGTAGCATTTATACCTTTACACTGACAAGTCAGGTGCATGTTCATTTGATCAACATTGGCTGTCTCTGTCATGTCTGTTACGTCTATCAAACTTGTCGGCATGGTTAAATGGTCCAGTTTTAGTTGGTATAGAACTGTTGTTGCAATAATGGACAGACTTACGCAGTCCACAGCTGTCTATTGCCTATTTTCAGGTCTACTTTACTTAAGCAGTTTGGCCTACATGTACTTAGTTTAAAGGCCATTGAAAATTATTTTTAAACATGTTTAACTTCACATCACTCCGATTGGAATGAAGCTGGTTAGGTGAATTATATTTCACATTTTATAAATTTGCCTTCTTTACATGCTAAGTGATTGAGCTCTGTGATGTACGATAGACTTGTTTATATGGGTCATGGTGCAGTACACAATATGGCACACTTACTGATAAAAGTGCGACAACACATCAACACATTATAATACTGTATGGTACCTAAGGCACCTTTCATAATTCCTGAATATACGAAGATGTATAGAGTTAGCATAGTAACTCAGCAGTGCTGTGGGCGTGCATCACATATCAGTAGCCGGTTTGAAGTTCTGCACTGAAACCATTTCTGTAAGGTCGTTTCACTGTTTGTGTGAAGTCAATCAGAGTGACGTACCTGTTGATATGGTGATAAGTTTGTCTGGAAGATACATTATGCAAGAAAAAATCACTCTTAGAAATATACAGTTGACCACATTGAGGTGGGCCTAGAAATTAGGGTGGGGAATAATATGAATCGATACATTAATTTTACATTACTTTACCTTCAGGCTTATTTGCATGTGTACATACATGTACTTATTTTTTAGCGTGTTGTGAAATCTAAAAAATGCTGTTTTCTTCAGCCCATTAAACTTGCATTTACATTCAACTTAGCTCTGAAGACAGTTCCTCTGAGGACCTCTGAAGACAGTGTAACTTTCCTTTAATTGTTTCTTGCGCTTTTTCTCTGTTTGCAGTTAATCAAATCTCTGAGTGGTGTGAAGCAGACTTTGGATGGGCTTACATCTGGGAAGGAACGCATACAAACACTGTGGAAAAGATGTATGCATAAATATCCTATGCAGAATATGAACGGTTATGAAGTCATTCTTGGTAGAAGAAGACTCATACATGTAGATCACAATTGATTTGACATTTGGAATGTACTAATGAATACTCTTTGGCACTGGGACATTATCTCATGGTCGTAAGTCATCTTCTCGCTTTCACAGCCAAGGGATGCAATTGTTTCCTCCACTTCACCATTATAAACAAAAGGTTCTCCACAACCCTTCTATTAGTGTGTGCATATTGAGGGGAAAATAAGCCAAAAAATAAGGAAAAATATGTACACCAGCAGAAGGGCATTTTGGAATGTGGCATGATGCAGTTGGTTTTTTTTTCCCTCTACCCTCACAGTGGATGAAATGAACTGTCATCTTGACCCTGAAGTCACAGAAAAGTTGACACTGACTGAGGATGCTAAAGCTGACATCATTCTAGCAGGTGCGTTATCATAGCACAGCACCATACACAGGTTGACTGCTAGAAACCTAGGGCAATTGATTGCACCGGAAAAGGTTAATACTGACGTGTGGAATATGGAGGTGATGGACTCATAGCGCACTAAGTCAGAAACGGTGTGAATTCTAGAAGACTCAAATGCAAAACACTTGCCATTTTTGCAAATCCCTTCAAATAATAAACAATATCATGGGGTGTAATTTGCATTAAAACCTTGGTCGAAAATTTATTTTTAAGTTGATGAAAAAAAGCTTAGAAATAAATAAATGGTTATATCTTAAAATGGAATACACCTTCCAAGCTTGAAATCGAGCCTTATTGAGGTCACCATTTGATGGCTTTGGGTGACTTACATCTATTGGGTCCCCCATTCATAAAGATACCAGGGTTATGGGTTATGTTGAGGTCAACATGTTTTGATGTTTGACACCCACTCCAGAGGAGACACAGCTCAAGAAACTGGCTGGATTGTTGGAGAAACTGCAGGGGATGAGAGATGTATTGGACAGTGAGCACACCAAAGGTACAGGCATCTGTAATAAAGACAAGGAACTTCCAAAATAGAAGTCAATGAAGAGGGAGGATCAGTCAATATCGTCCAATGCAGACTCCAAGGTCCTTGCACTGGACCAAACCTGAAAATATTTTTTTACTTTTTGGGAATGGACTAGTTTAAATAAATGATTACAATTAGAGCACATCGAATCATTTTATTGTTCCCTTACTCTGTCATTATTAATTTTCCTGAATTTTCGTCTGATCAAATCATATCTACAGACCCTTTAACATTCAAGCTTTCTGTTTTCTGGCAATTGTATTAGGCGCACCAGCCTTCCGAGATAAACTCCAACCACTTGTGACAGTACAGCTGGACCAGAAGGTAAATAATCTCTGAAGATTCATGGCATAAATGTCAAAATTATGCAGACTTAAAGATGCAAAGCTTTGAAATAATTGCATTCCTGATATTATTAATGTACCCCCA